TAGAGAGAGATAGAGAGATACGGGAAGAGAAAGAGAGGGGGGTGTGAGAGAAAGAGAGAGGCAGCATGCAGGTGGTGCCCGTACGTGTATTATCCTGTGATATCCTTGTGGTGGTGGGCTGCTGCGCTTTTCCTGCTCCTTTTATCTCTTAATGGTCAGGTGACAAAACGGTCCACATACATAGACACAACAAATATATATATATATATATATATATATATATCTAAATATAGTTTGAGATCGGCTAACGAATTGCCAAATTTGAGGCGTAACACGATTTTTTTTAATCGAACGTAGGTCCAAATTAGAATTTATTATTTTGCAAAATAATCGCGTTTTTTAGATAAAATGTAGTTTGTTAATATGCTCAGCAGCCTTTGAAAAAGTTAAAATATACTTTTTCTTTTGGTTTTCAATATTTAGGATCTGATTCTTGCAGTGAAGATATTAAAGTATAAAAAGTATATAAATTATTATTATTTTGCTACCCACGTATTCAATTTTGTTTCGCTGCACTCTGTTTTTGGTAGGAGAATTTTTCTCGTTTAAACTCGTTAGCTGCATTAATTAACCCCAGACTGGGCGTTTGTCCAATTATGAGACGAGTGGTTTTGGTAACGTCTCATTTTCCGGCCACCCTTGTTGTCGGGATAATGGACACGCATATAGGATATATGGGATATGGGATATGAAAGATGGCGTTCCTGACACAAGCCGCACACATGTGGTGGCCTAATGAAGCATTGGCCAAGGGTTGAATACTGTTTATGTTGCCAACTAATTACAAAAACTAGTCAAATCTTAAATTAAACAAGAACGGAAGCAAACTTCGCAAGCCGAAGTTCAAATGAAATGAAATATTCTTGAAAACATAAAATTTTGATTTATTTTAGTATATGTTTGAAAACATTGAAGCTAAATTATTCGATCGTTCCTATGGCAGCTATATGATATCGTTTTCCGATATAACTAGATAAATGTAGCTTAAAACATTTCAAACAAGTTTTTCTTTCACAAAACCTTTATTCTTATTGAATTATTATGTGAAAGCTAAAATCTGAGCATTCATGTCGAAAACACACCTGCAATAAATAATTGATTATTTATTGCACAATTTTCTTTTCTATATACAACTATTGTAAAGAAATTGCAATTCATTGCATAATTGGATGCTTCGAACCACTTCACCTGGCTGCAATCAGGGTCGGAGGTAAAAATCGCCGGATTCCAATCCCAATCTCGATTCCAATTGAGTGCCTGGGTACATTGAACCGTCCAACAATGCCGATCATTTGTAGCGAATTCGGGGTGCAAATTAATTTGATGGCAATCGAAAATACAGCGCCCAGGGGCGTGGCGCCCCTACTTCAACATAAAAGCAAAAACACTTTCAAAGGGGCTAACGAGTGTAGGAACCCATGGAAATCCAATATGGTTAAAGCTTACATATCAGAGATTAAGTATTTAAAAAACAAATAAGCACAGACATTCCATTAAATTTATACTTTTAGTTTCAAGGATTACGCTTTTATTTTTTATAATTTTACTCATTATGAAAATAATTTCAAAGAATATTCCTCATTTTAAATTAATTGGATTTTAAATGGATAAATACAACAAATGATTTATCAATAAACTTTTTCTAAATCCTACCTTAAACTTAAAATAGCTAATAAATTTAGACTTTTAAAACTTTACAAAATTATTTTCTATCAAAACATTTAAAATTAAATAAAAGACAAAATGTTTTTATTGTGCTATAGAAACGTTAAGAAAATCCATGTCTTTTAAAAATTGACCCTTCCATGCGAAAAATAAAATTCATAATTTTTCCTTAAGCCATTGCCTGTGAAAATCCATTTCCCCCCAGCTTGGAAAAACGTTTCTCCAGCTACAAATCGAAACCACCCTCTTTGAGGCTTACACACCGGGATTACACGACCATTTTCTCAGTGCTTCGTTGCATGTGTGTGCCAAATCAAAACTGATGTTCCACTATAGGAAAATGTGCGAAATTCTAGACGGAAAAACCCCTGCAAAATCACAATAATGTCAATAAGTCGCAGGAGCTATAAATTGCAGCGAACTGAACCAAAGTTCAAGATCCTTTTGAACAGCAGCTGCAAGGATAATGATGCTCGATCACATCGGTGGTGGTGCAAAGCTGTGGTGGTGGGACCTCCCCCTTTTATTCTGTTTCCCTTACGAAAGTGTTACATAACTTGGGAAGCGGGAAAATGCAAATCGATTGGTTCTGGTTCTGTTTCGGTTTTTGTTATTTTACTATTGTCTCGGGGAACGGGTTAGCTTTCCCTTCGAAAACGGGTTCTTCAGGTTCGAGGCGAGCTGTCCGAAAGTTTTACAACATTTTGACACATCCTTGTATACTTTAGAATTGGAAAATGTTTTACGAAAATTAAGACATATGTCCACATTTTCAAAACAAAGGGCTGACCTGCGTTTCGCTTCGTCTTTGAATTATGTGGACAGCTAAAAATAGGATTAGGGAGCTAACTTTACCTTGCCTTACCTTCAATTAGTTTAAGAATTAAAAAGATTTTTATTTTATGTTGTACTCTTTTCATTTTGTCGTTAAATTTCTCCAACAAAATCAATAAAAAATGATGATATAAAAAAATAATAGTTTTTTTTAAATATCGTTTATAATCACATATCATAAAATTTATCCAAGGAATATTACATTTGTTTTAAGGTTTTAAAGTATAAAACTGTGTACAATAAGTGAGCATTTAATTTTTATGTTAAGTATTAAAAATAGTATTAGAACAAGGATATAGAAAAAACTGTAGCTATAATTTAAAAACAAAATTTGTTTAGTTTCAAGAAGCTTTTTGCTGTTTTGCATAAGCGCAATAAATGCATTTTAAATGGATTAACCTTAATGTCGTTTGATATATTTTTCCTTTCAAAAATAATCAGTGAGAAAATACCAAGCCTACGCCACGCCCCAGCGCCCACTTATAATTTCCCCAACTCAACTGGGAAACCGTTTATCTCTGGCTAGCAAAAAATAAAAGAATAAGAATAACGAACGCAAAAAGTAAAGCAACAACATCATCATCAGCTCCCATCAAATTAAACGAATTGGGTCAAAGGATAAACAGAATTATCTTCAAGAGCCTATGTATAAAAAAAAAAAGAAATAAAAGTAAAAGAAAAAACGTAAGCCAAAGGAAATTCAAAGAAAATTAGGAACATGGCGAAAAAGTACACAAAGTCCTTAAAAAAAGAGCTAACGGTTGCAACTCGAGCGAAAGGACAATCTCGCAGCCACCCAACCACCCCACCACCCACTCACCACCCACTCACCACCCACTCACCACCCAAAAGCACCCACTCTCTGCCCAAAACCTCCCCCCCCAAAAAAAACTCCCTTTGCTGTTGTCAAGCAAAATGTTGAAATTTCATTATTTATAACACGGAAGCTGTGTGTGTGAGAGGAATTTTCGTATGTGCTTGTGTGCGTGAGAGAGATGCTGTGTGTGCAAAGGATTCTGTGTGTGTATGCGTGTGGGGCAAGTGTATGTCTGTGTGCGCCTGATTAATATTCCTAGCCTGCAAGGTGCTCTCCCTTTTTTTTCAGCCTCACCTCAACCCCCGTAAAAGTTCTCTCATCCCCCTTCACTTCCCCTTCCACAGTTCTTTTCTCACTCTCCCTTTATCTCACATTCTCCCGCTGCATCTCTCTTTATACAAAAAAAAGAAGTAAGTCGGGTGGGAAATAAAAGCCCAGCAGGAGGGAAAAACTTGTTCGCCTGTCTGAGTCTGTTTTTCCAGAATTTATCCATAAATGTTTTTTATTAAATCCTAAAAAATCCTTAAATATAAAAATAATACTTAAATGGTTAAAATTATTAACTGTTATCAGTTCTCTAAATTTACCTTTACTATTAAAAAAAAGTAATTTATATCTTAAAAACTCTAATGGTCTTATTTTTCTTATTTCCACTTATTTTTCCTTGAAAGTAAGCGAATATGCCACATTAGGTGAAAAAAGAAGACAATGAAATACTCTTTATGATAATTTTTAAATGTATTACTTAAAAAAAAAATGCTTTTGTGCTTATGACAGAGAATGTTTTATCAAATCATTCGTATGTATAAATATGAACAGATAATTTATATATTTTGTTATAAATGCGATTTTAGGTGCGTTAACCGTTAGCTTTTCTCTAAAATATTTCAAAGCTCCGTATTTATGACCATTAAATCCCTTTATTTTTTTCCTGTTTTCATTCAAGCTCAGACAAAAACATTGCTCGAGTTTTTTTTTCGTAGAGGGAGGGCCCTGTCCCATTATCTTAGTCTGATATAATTTGCATCATTCACATCGAGTCAAGTTCTCGGACTCCTGCTCACTCCAACAACTGAAAGTACACGTAGACAAATTCTTGGTAATTTTCTTTGCTTATCAGATCTAAGAGAAATAACACTAGTCAGCTCATTGAGATCCCAAAAGTAGAAATATGTGGACTATAGTAATATTTTATAAAAAATGAGTTGCATAACTCAAATGAGTGATAGGAATGTACTTCTTAAATTTTGTAATATCTAGATTAATTTCCTTTCCGAAATTTCTGTCGTGTAGCGTCGGCAAATTTTTTTTAAGTGCAAGGACTCTTGTTTCCTCACCTCGTCTATTTGCAACCCACCCAACATTTGCCGCTCTCTCTTTTTTTCGGTTTCTGTGTGCGCTCTCTCATGCCGCTCTCCCAAAAAGGGTGTGTACCGGCATGACTTTAGAAAGAGAGGGAAAGGGATAGCGAGAGGGAGATACTGGTGCAAGGATACTCGGTGGTGGTAGCGGCTTTCGCTCTCTTTCGTTCCGCCGGATCGCTCCGTCCTTGTTGCGCATATTGCCGCTTTTGGGGGCCGGCGACAAGAATGCAAGGATACGGCCAGCTCAGCTAGGATATATGTGTAGATTCACATATATATATATAGAGATATCGGTCTAAGGCCCAAGTCCTGGCGCTGTATTCCTCTATTCGATTCAGTCGTACGTGTTCGTTCGTTGCTTTCGTTCGGTTTTGATTCCATTCGGTTGTGTTTCTCGTTCGAGAACATTCATTTATAATTTTTTACTCCTCTGCACCGGTTTTTGTGTTGTATATATACTTCTATATATGTATATTAAGTTACGAATTTGTTGTGTTCTCGGTTTTTTACCCAAAACTAACAACTAGAAACCAAAAACTAGAAACTAAACAAAGCAATACGCTGTGCAATTACCGGGACTCGACTTCGATAATCGTGCAATATCTCTATAGAACACTTGGAAAAGTCGCTGAGCACTTGGCAGAATTGCAATTGTTATTACACACAGACCCTAGTCAAATCTAAATTTTCTTTCGCATTTTTTTTCGAGTTTGTGCCTCGAGTGTCTACTATAAACTACGCCAGATCCCATCGGCCATATATATGTATATATATATATATACTATTTAGCCAGGAAATCGTTGGACAAAGGAGCGTGCAGGCCAAAGAGAAAGAGCGAGCGAGTCGACGCGAAAGAAAGTTTTTGTGCAATCAATATACATCTATTATATAGTCAGTCAGTCAGTTTATCCAACTCCCCTCCCTCCACACGCACCACTGTATGACAGTGGTACTTCTCAAACGCAACTCGCTCGCAGAATTTCACGATTTTGTACTGCCACCGAAGCACGTAAGTGGTAATGCCATGATCTAATCAAGTTTATCCAGCCATCTATATTTAATTCTTACCCAAACGCCTGCCAAAATAAATCGATAAGGGGGGCGCCATTGTAAATTTCCATGACAGCTTTTATTTTGTTTCTTTTGGTTCTCGTTGCGCTGCAAAATAATACAAGCTCTACCCGCTAAAGAAACTTAAAGTATATATTAGGTTCCGCAAACAAGTGAGGGGGAAATGTCACATATCAAATGTAATCTAAAATAATATTAATAAAGCTACCTAATATAATATATCTAATTATATTATTTTGCTTGTTTTCAGTTGGTTCTCGTTTTGCTGAAAAATAACTTAGGTCTAACAGCTAAATAACAATTTTAGAATTTTTTTGAATGAGTATAAATAATTTCCAACGTCTTTCAAAAGTGTAGCCTTCTAAATATTTTTTAATTATTTATAATGCTTTTATAGTACTTGCATACAAGAACTGTGCTATAAAACATTAAAAACTTGACTTTGAAATTGAGTAAAAGCCATAAAAAATAAATAACCTGTACGGTCTAAAAAAAAAACTTATTAAAGGATATTTAATATTAAAGCAAAACTATATAAACATTATAATATATCCAATTGGGAAATTTAAATAAATACAAATAAGAAAAACATGTGCTATCTAGAAGTGTTTTTCTTTAAAAAACTTAAACAGTTTCTCAACACTCATTGAGCTTTTAGAAAATGCCTTTTAAAATGTTAAAAAAGTTCATCGCTTTGAAGCGCCCATTAGTCTTAAACAAATTCCGCTTAAGGACTTTCCCGTTCCTTTCCAGGGACTTGAGGAGTCATGTGTGTATCCTGACCCTCCTCAAGGCCCTCGACAAATGCCAACCGACATACATTCGCAAATGAGGTCACAGATATCGGCGCAAAAGTGTCAATTACACGTTTACACGCTTCTCCACCGCCGTCATCTTTTCACACACGTCCATGGCTGAGGGCAGTGGGGGGTTAAGGGGGACGTTTGCTTTATCCAGTGTCACGCCATGCTGTGCAATTAAAGGATGTCCCCGGCTCGAATCCTGCATCCTTGTGGGCGAGGAGTCGCCCCGTTGCATTTGCACTGCACTTCCTTTTGTTCGCCATGCCTTTTGTGCAGTGCTCTTTTCATCTCGCGCCTAACCTTAATACACTGCAAAAAAGGGAATGACATTTTATAAGTATTGATTTTGCATATGTAAAAAAAATTATCTCCAATTTAAAAAAAAAAATATTATTTTATATACAAAGAATAGAGCAGATTTTATGAAAAGAGCAGATTATTTAAAATAATCAAAAATAATGTTATCAAGTATTCGATGGGTAGGATATGTTAGTGTAATCACTTCACACTTATCAGTAAATTGAATTATCCATTTTAATTTCTTTGGTGAGAATTTTAATTTTTTTAAGAAAATGGGTTATGCATCATTATATCAAATAATAGAAAAATATTTTATATATGAATATGAACCTTTATAGGTCCCCAACTAAACATATATCATTTAATTATTGCATCTTTTTCGCTCAGTGCATTTGGTTTTTAACCCAGTGTTGCACCTTTTACTGGGTTCAACGAACGCAGTAACAGCTGTTGGGACCCCCAAACCTCATTTAACGTGCCACGATCCTTGCACGGAGCGAAAAAGGGCAAATAAACACGGGTGTGGGAAATGTGGAAAAGACACGGGCTGAAAACTAGAAAACCCAAACACAGGCACACGGGGGTTCAACGACCCCGGACAGGACAGGACATTATATGGCAGGACATGCGGCCCGTTTGTTTGTTTTTCGCGTCAGGTTTTTACCCTATTTTCAATGCAGTCCTTTCACAAACACGCACACACAGATGCCGGAGGCCAGGATCTAGGAAGTCCTTTTTTGCTCTTTCAACCCCTAAAGAAATTCCAATTGGAAACAAAAGTATTTAAGCCACAAGGATATGAGCTTGGAAATTCAATATTTATATATATATAATAAAAGCATAAATATATATATTTTATTATTTTAAGAGTTTATTTTATTTGTAAAATATTGTTTTATTTGAAGTAAAAAATTTGTTCGCTAAAAGTTTTTTACTTCAATAAATGGCAAATCTTAATAAAAGTAATCTTTCAAGATTATTATTTGCTTAATAATACAAAATAACAATTTCCATATTATTTGTTTGAGTCCAACGAAATTCAAGCTTTAATCTCCGATACAAATGTGATTTTATCGAAGTTCAAAGAAAAACTGCCATGGATGATAACGTGCTGGGAATTTCCCCTGTTTTGTAATAAACACAAGTTACCATTTGACACGTATTTTTTTAATGCGATTTGGTTTCTGGCGTATTGCCTTGCGAATCGTTCCATTGTTCCCTTCCGAATATTGTGGAGGGAGCAATAAATGACCATTATGCAGGGTTAGCATCTTTCGATTCATATCATATATCGTGACATTACACATGGGATTCATATATCGCATCTACCTACAGCGATTTAATTAAATTCCAAGCCATTAGGCGAGTACTTTGCGCTGACAAAAAGCGGTGAAAAAAACTCCAGCCGAGTCGCTTTGTTGTTTGATAAACAGATTTCGGCGTTGACTTACCCTTGTCCATGGAATTCATTAGTTCAGGCGTGGGGGCGGTGGTGCTTACTAATGGTGCTCACTGTAGTGCTGCTGTGGTGGTGACAGTAGTCTCTCGGATTCCTTGCCAAGTCGTGTGTGAAACGCGCTTATCGGGCACTTTTCATCGGAAGAGCACCCATATTGGCAAATTGTATGGCTCGCGAAAATGAGACAGCATTCGAATAGGTTTTTCAATTAAAAATTGCTAAAGAGCTAGTGCTTTTACCATTAAAAGATATTGTCAAAGTAAGCAGCTAAATTAAGGAATTGTGTGTGTGAAGTCGATCGAAATGAGCTAAACATATTGTCCCTCCATACATGGGTAGCTAATGTAATGGCTAAATGGTTAAAACAATGGTTTAATTAAGACAACACTTGGTTACAGCTTTCTTATGATTACAATGATTTTAGTTGTTTGAACAACTTGTTCAAACAAAATCCATGACTGTTGGCATTATCATAAAATTATTTTGTTTTTTAAAAATTATTATTTTGTTTATGAAAAATATGGCACTTAGTTAAAATTTATATATTTACAAATACATTATTTGTTAACATAACAATACCTCGTCCTCTTTTTTTTTGCAGATTGAGTGAAAACGAGCGAGCAATCGAACAGCCATCATTTATCAAAGAAAAGATACGGATCACCGGAAAAGAGGTAGATTTTTTAACCGCAGACGAGAAGGCAAACAAACGAGGCAAGAATAAATAGGAGGAGAAGTAAACAAAAACCAAACACCACCAAATAAAACCAACTACTATTAATTTAAAGCAAACATAAACGAATAATCATATTCAAGCGGTATATATATACAAGAGGATAACGGATAACACAACTAACTATATATATACGATATATGAATGTATATTTCAAAACCAAAGCTAAGTTCCAGTCAAATAAAACCAAAAAAACCAGCGCAAATTTAGTAAAAGTATAATAAAAGGGAAAAACCAAATTATTGCTATCTTTTTGCATTTTTGCAATTTTATAAAAAATAACAAAGAAAACGAAAAATAAAACTAAAAAAACTACAACTAAAGATCATAATAACCTTTAAAATTCGAAGAAGCAAAAAAGAAGAAGTAAACACATTTAGCAAAATTTACTCTTTTATCTAAACGAAAACAAAACACAAAAAAAAAAAAACAAAACAAAACAAATCAAAGTAAAACCTAATTCAAGAATAAATTAAATTTTAAAAGTTTTAGACAGACAAACGCTCTAAACATAAACTTAAAAAGCAAATACATTTTTTTCGCGATCGTAGTTGATCTAAAAACCCCCAAAAACCGATATATATAAAAGCAGCGGCTAAAACGCGGGACTTGTGCAAAGCGCAGTCGCAACTAAAACCCCAAAATCCAAAAACTAAAAGCTAAAAACCAAAACACTACCCATAACGAGCAGCCCTAACTTGTAAGCGAAAAGCAACCAACCAAGCAGTGAGATAGTGAGATTAACTAGGACTAACCGAAAGGACTAAATCAGGGCAGGATCAGGATCAGGATGACCAACGCCATGGACATAGTGAAGAACGGCAGTGCCAATGGCTCCGTGGACGGCAGCAATGATGAGTCGCGCACCAATTTGATCGTCAACTATCTGCCGCAAACCATGACGCAGGAGGAGATGCGATCGCTCTTCTCCAGCATCGGTGAGCTCGAGAGTTGCAAACTGGTGCGTGATAAAGTCTCAGGTAATTTGGGTAAATATTGACCAATTCTTCTACTATTTTACTCTTCAAACCTTTTACTGTGTTCGACATTTTTGGAGCTCATCATTTTAATATTAGTTAAGACTACAAAAATTCTAAACTTCTGAATTTGTGTTAAAAATTTATTCATATTTATAAAACCTCTTTGCATATTTAATTATCAGTTCAAATTAAATATCTTTTTTCTTCGCCTTTTTAAAAGTTAGTAAAACTTTAAAATAATACCAAGCATGTTATTGTTCTTACTTATATCTTATTCTTTAGCTGTCATTTTTTATCTAGTGACTATATTAATATCTAAACTAACATTGGCACAATTTACTTCCAGTCTTGCCAGCATCGTTGACCGCTCTCAACCCGGCACTGCAGCAAGGTAAGTTTACCGCCTAAATGTCTTTTATTATTATGTATAATATTTGTAACCACTGCCATTTTTTCCGATTCGATATAGGTCAGAGCCTGGGCTATGGCTTTGTTAATTACGTAAGGGCCGAGGATGCTGAGAAGGCTGTGAACACCCTGAACGGTCTGCGTTTGCAGAATAAGGTTATTAAAGTATCATACGCCCGTCCAAGCTCAGAATCTATTAAGGGTGCTAATTTATATGTATCGGGTCTTCCGAAAAATCTATCACAACCAGACTTGGAGGGGATGTTTGCTTCGTTCGGCAAAATAATTACATCTCGTATACTCTGTGATAATATTTCTGGTGAGTTTTGGTTGAAGGATGGATATGATGAAAATTATAAGACTTTGTCGATAAATTTGTTGTTTGGGATAACACTAATTGGAGTTGGTTTTGCAACTCTTATAAGATTGTTTAAAGTTTAAAAATAAATCACAATTCAATTTCATAATACATATTTAAAATCGCCTACAATGAGATGATGATTTTTATATCTTGAAATATAATCCTTTGATTAAATTAACTATTCCAGCTATTCAAGTTATGCTGGACTTTTTTTTAAAATATATATATATATATTGTAATAATTGCAAGAAACATAATTGATTTGTTGTTTTTCTTGCACCAATTAAATTTAAAATATATAAAAATAGATAATAGGAAAATTATTTTAATGTATAATAAATGTTATCATAATGTATACTAATTCTGTTATTTTGTAGGTCTATCGAAGGGCGTCGGTTTTATACGTTTCGATCAGCGCAACGAAGCCGAGCGGGCCATCCAGGAGCTGAATGGCAAGACCCCGAAGGGATATGCCGAGCCGATCACCGTTAAGTTCGCCAATAATCCGAGCAATAGCGCCAAGGCCCAGATCGCCCCGCCCCTCACCGCCTACTTGACACCCCAGGCGGCAGCGGCCACCAGACGTTTGGCCGGAGCTCTGCCCTCCGCCGGTCGCATAAGGTTCGCATTAAATCATCCCAAGATCTTTAGCTAAAGATACTTTGATAGGGAAACAAACCGTTTTTGAGGCTCAGGATTAATGCTCACATTATTGTGAGCATGTATACTGAGTATATAATATTGGTGATTATTTATATTTATATGCACATAGTGTATTTAAGGATTGAAGGAATTTTGGTCCGATTGCATTTCCGATTCCATTACCCCTATCCATTAAAATTCGTATCGAATCCTGGGGATACATTTACATTTTTTCATTAAACTTAATTCAAGGTTAAGTTAACGTAAAATAACTTCTTAATTTTTTTTTGGTATGTACGTATGTTTTTGCAATTTCGTTGACTAATTAATTTGTATTGATTATATAAACCATTTTGTTGCTCCATTTTTTCTTTCTTTCTTTGTCTTTACAAAATACATTTTATCATCATTTTTAGCATTGGAAAGAGTCCCATGTTAGCGATTAACAAGGGCCTACGAAGGTGAACATATTGATCTTGATCTTTTCACGCTAATTGTGCAAATTGTTATTTTGTTAATTTATTTATTTGGCTGAAAATAGAAAAAATATATTCAAATATCTATATAAATGTCTAGCAATAATGTTGATACTTATATACAACGTTTGTATATATTTCAATTACGTATTTCATTTAGTTATATTTGCTACACCGCTTTGGCTTTTTATTTTTTTTCGTTTGCATGTGAGAGTTACCTTTGATTCCAGTATGTTGTTCAGTTTAATATCCGGATTTTTATTTTTTCCGAATATAATAATGAACCAATATCAAAATGGCTAGAGATTACTGAACCGATGAGCTTAAGATTGGACTAATAATAAATTGGGCGTAATATTTTTTTAATTTAATTTATTGGTGGTATTTTAATCAAAAATAGATTTAAAATTTATAAACATATAACTTTTAATAGTATCATTCGAGTCTCAGTGTTACCATCAAACAAACACAATTTAAAATAGAAAAATGTATACAAAATACAGAAGTAACTACAAATTTGTTAATGTGAAGTTAAAAAAAAAAGTTACAAAACTAAAGGGCCTAGAAAACTGAAATGGATAGGTATTTCAACCTTTGTTAATCAGCATGTAAGGTGTGGCCTAGGGAGGTACCCAAATCATTAACGTAAACAAGTACTTACTTTTTTATATATTTTTATTATCAAAAAACTTATCAACAAACTATGAATAGGCCCATTTTCGTTGTTTCTCAGCATGTGCCTTGAAAACCCAGAGATCGAACGATCTAAATCCATTTGGTTAAGTGTTAAGAACGGCTTAGGAGAGTACCTAAAATGAATATTGATGTAAACTGCACTTCGCAACATACACAATTAACTAATTTAATTTGTTTATCTCACCGCCGGCTTGAATCGCAACTCCACTTTAGGTACTCACCGCTGGCTGGCGACCTACTGGCCAACTCGATTTTGCCCGGAAATGCGATGACCGGATCCGGATGGTGCATATTCGTATACAACCTGGCCCCGGAAACCGAGGAGAACGTTCTGTGGCAGCTATTCGGACCCTTCGGTGCCGTACAATCGGTGAAGGTGATCCGCGATCTGCAGACCAGCAAGTGCAAGGGATTCGGGTTCGTGACCATGACCAACTACGATGAGGCCGTAGTGGCCATCCAGTCGCTGAACGGATACACCCTGGGAAATCGGGTGCTCCAGGTCAGCTTTAAGACTAACAAGACCAAGACCACTTAGGCGAACCCGCCATTTTGGGCTAAACCTAGACCTTTCCAATACTCCACGATCTGTTTGATTTGACGAACCTAGACTATTGACTATTTGAATATTTGAATATTGGAATATTGGAATATTTGAATATTTGACTATTTGATCTGATAAGAGACAGTGTAGTCGAAATTGTGCGAAAACTAGCGCGAATTATGATGTCTATCATTTAATTTGTACGCTAAACGAAATTATTATGATTGTAATTCTAATGAAATCTTAGTGAAAATTGATTTATTTCCATCTCTATAATTTAGTTCTATTAACTAAACCAAGCAACCAAAACAAAAACAAAAAAAAAAAAAACAAAACAAAGCTTGAATGAGGCAACCAAAAAACACAACACAGAAACTAAGGCAAACTTTAGAAAAAAAGATGAACAAGACAACTGTCTATAAATTGACAAATGAAAATAATAAGGTCAAAGGAAAAACAAAACAAAAAACGAAAAATAAAGAATAAAAAACCGCAAAAATATGAATGAAAATGATCTAAGTCGCAATATATAGTAACTATTTTTTTTAACTTATGTATATGTAATTTAATTCGATTATATTCAATTAAACAGAGTATTTAAACAAGCTAACCAAATGATTTAATGTCTATTGATTTAAGATTTACCAACATTACTCTCTCAGCTTACCTAAGTACTTATTATAATGAATATGCATAAATATATTGTATTGTATTGTATTTTGTGTTCGATTTGCAAACCTTACCTTACATTACATTACTTCTAGTGCTATTCAGCTCTTATATTTAATTCGATTCGCCATGATTTACACTCAAAGACGAAACGAAAATCGAAAATCGAAGATAAAGCCGCGACATATTCTTCAAACGTAACAACAAAACCCCAAAAAACTCCAAAAAACCAGCACCCCCACACACTCACTCGTAACCATTATTATATATATGTAACCAGATTTAATTACCTTTTTTTCGTCGTCTAAGATTCGTATTCGTATTCGTCAAGTGCAAACCAAAGTAAATGAAACCAAGAAAACTTATTATATTATATTAAATTATATATTATTACGCCTACTTATTATTCCATTTTTATAATTATTATAACTTATTAAATGAAACCAAGTAAAACCAAACAAAAAACCAAACAAAAAAAAACATAGCTACAACTAAAAATATATATTTATTATTAAATAAATGTGTGACTTATTCCAAAAACTATGCAAAAAAAAAGAAAAAAACACAAAAAACTAAAACACAAAAATTTGTTTTCTTTTTTTCCTCAAATATCTAAACTCACATACACCTAAACTTGAGCAGGCAAAACATCGATAAATCATAGAATCGCTTGTGAATTAAATGCACATGATTTGGTTGTTAATAACCAATCCTCTATGGCTTTGTTATGATATTCATATTCTTCAAAATACGAGTATTCTAATCTTAAAATGTTTCGTAGTTCATATTAATTTTGAAGACCTTAACGATCAACGTTATGGTTGATATTGTCGATAATTTTAATGACACTATCAACTAGTATCGATGTTTTGTCAGCTCTAACCTCTACCCACCTGAAAATTGGCAATATTGCAGGCAAAACGCTTTCACAGTTGAAGTGATCATTAAATAATTGGATTGGAACGAAGGAAAAATTAAAAATGACCAGCAAAAATCGGAACTTCAGCCGTGGAAGACGCTCCACACACCACCACATACCAAAAACACTCAACAACAGCACTCGCATTTATAAAAAGATAATTAAAATACAAACTAAGTTTCAATGCTCTCTTAGCTATAACTAAGTTTTAACTAAGTTTTACGCCTATATAAATAAATATTTAACCACACACACAAGCTATATGTACGCGCATCTATATAAATTTCGAACAAAGTTTGTTTATTCGATTTTTAGACAGATATTCTAGTTTCCAAATCCAAGATCATTTAGTAGAGTCCACCAACAATCAATGTGTGTGTCTGTAGTTTAACTGACGATAAGAAAAACGAGAGCGAAGAGAGATGAACATTTTTTAAGAAGCAAACTTTTTTTGGTGTTTTTAGGGCTTAAGGGTCAGGCCACATCTACATGGCAATCGGCCATGAGGCGAAAAACACTTAAAATAATAATACAAGGAAAAGAAAATGAAAGCATTCTTTAAAACTAGGGAAAACCAAGGAAAATAAAAGCAAAACAACTCAAGCTAAGAGTAAGTTGCGAGCGCAAATTGAAAACACCAAATTTTTAAATATATAATATAAATGATGTAAAGTTTTTTAAACAAAGATTTATAGTAAAATTTATTAAAATATATATATATATATATATACATACAAATATATATATATATATACATACAAATATATATATATATATATATATATATATATATATATATGTATTTATTAAGTATATATAACGATATATACAAAAAAAATACACAAGGATAAGAAAATCAAGAGAAACCATTGCGGTATCACGAAATTCAAAGGAATCTGAGCAAAGTGAAATGTGAAATACATTAAAAAAATACCTAAAATTACCTAGAAACGAGAAATCAGAGAATGACCGGAAGTCCTCGAAAAAGAACTGCTCGCAAGCAGTGCTACAATAGCAAGCAGTTATGCCATTCGGATTTCGAAATCGATCTTCAATCGATCGACTCTGCACTGACTCGTTTTCCACTTCCCGGCGACTAGTTACCCTACTCAATACTCAATATGGCATATGGAATAATCAAGTAATCAAGTAATATCCGCAAAATAACCGCCGCAACGCTGCTGCGCAGCCGCGTGTGTCATTCACAAAAGCAATATAGAGATGTGGCGCGAGTTGGCTGTTTTGGCCCATGCTGACTTACAATATATATATATACATATATATATATATTTCGGACGGAGGGAGGCGAACGGAACGCAGTTGTACAAATCGCAACTCAGCGACTCGGTCACATTCATTCACGGCACTTACGCCGCCACTTACAATTTACAATTTACCCGAAAAAACCAAAAAAAAAAAAAACCATATTAACCGCAGCATATTAGTTTAAATAAAGCTAATGCAGCAAAACACAAATAAAAAAAAAACCGAAGAATAACACACGCAGAAATAAGCAAACCCACACACCGATCAGTTGGCGATGGTTCTTCGATATTAATTTTAGTGAAAAACAGCAGAATGCTAAACTAAAACTGAACCCAACAATGAAAATCATCAACTAAGCATGAAATGCATTTAACAATTAATTACAACAAATACATATTTATATATATATATAGATGTACATGTCTATTTGTATGGCCAGGATAGCGAAAATATGAATTATAGCCCCGATAACAGAATCGAAAACAGAAACAGAGCAACACCAAAAAAACGAAGTTATTGGAGATGGAAATCCGAAAAAAACCGAAAAACCCGAAAGTGAAAAGTGAAGCGACTTAGCAACGCCTCCCGAAGCAACACCCGAAAATAAACTTCCAACATTTTTATTGATATACACTAAAATTTAGACACCTAAGGCGATTTCATCGATACCAAAATCTAAGTTAAGTCAAGATTGCATGCAAATTAGCGAATATGAAACTTCAATTTAGTCTATAAGAATCGGATAAAACATGCGACAGATTATGCAAATAAATAAGCGAAAACAACAGGCCAAAAAAGCGTAAATAAACCAGATATTTAAAATAAATAATTGGTCGCCTGAGGCAAAAAACACGGTAAGCAGTGCAAGTTGAACATCGACAGCTTCCAAGCAGTGCATCACAAGCAGTCGAGGGACTTTTTACAAGCAGTTGTCAAAATGAAAATTGCTTTAGACTTAGACGAGAAAAAAAACAAAATAAAACCAAATGTTGAATGATTTGCAAAATTCAAGAAATTTGTTTAAAAAAAAAACAACAATAAGGAAAAGACAAGAAGATATACGTAGCCGCTTTGTCAGACGGAATGCGCCCAAACCAAACTAAGTAACTAAGTAAACTAAAATAAAAATCGCAAAAATATTTAAATCAATTTTGTGCGTAAGAAAAATCGATAGCCGTTATGCATATATATGTAAGTCAACTATATATATTTATATATATATATGTGTGTGCAAAAACAAGATCACGAATCAAAACAAAAATCTGAACTCAACTTCAAACTTAATTAATTATTATCCATTTTATTGTGTATGCTAATTATTATTGTCTATAGCGTATCCTACAAATATTATATATACTTTTCGTGCGAATCCAAGGGCAGCACCTATTTATGCATTACCCTGCGATGGTACTTATCTAATTAGTTAACCATATACCGCATACCCATGTACTTACCTTACTTTAAATATGCTTACTTAATCACATTTCGATATTGTATTCGTAGCCCCTGAGTAGAACTATTTCAATTTATTTGTACACCCTCCAATTCACACAATCCACAACCTAATATTGCCCAGCAGCTAAAAACAAGCTCTAAATAATATATATTAGAGGCCTGCATGAATCTTGAGATGTTTTGCTCAGTACTTTATACTCACAGAAAACTATTCCTCACAGATTCCAAAAAAAAAAAAAAACTTCAATGCTAATTCTTTAAATTCACATTACTTGAAAAGTGCTTCTTTTTAATATTAGATCACATTTATTAATGTATTTAAAAATAAAAGCAAGGAAAAAAAAGCTGCAAGTAAAACAAACTGATTCACTGACTCACAGATAAAGTCGATTTTTTAAATGATTCAATTCACAACATAAACATATTTAATTGAAATCATTTCCAAATTTTTTAAAGCCAATATTGCAACTGCGATGAATAATTCGACTTATTTTCATTAATTCATTTTAAAACGACTCGGCGAATTAAAGAATAGTACTGAATTAAGCCACTGTGGGTTCCTGCAGGTCTCTTCCAATAAATCTAAATGGATAGGCGCATATTTGTATGTATTTACCATAATATAGCTAGCTAACACAGACACAAACAGATCACTCTTATACCCACTCACACAATGAAGAATATGATACCGAGGTGACACAAATTTAGATGCATATTATTATATAACTTATATGACAAAACAAAAGCGATAAGATTAAAACAAAAATTTTAATATACTCGAACGTATAAAGTATATGAATGTATGTAAATTATTATTATATTTGTATTTTATTGTATGTATTAGTTTTTGTTCTACGCTCTTTTGCTCTTTCATAAAAAAAAAAAAAAAAAACCCAAAAACAAAATCGAAATCCAAATGAAACTCGATAACAAAAACTAAAACCAAACAACAAAAAGCCGGCAAGCAATGGTATACAAAATAAAATAAAATATGACAAAAGGAAATCAACAAAAAAATGAAATAAAATTGAATGAAAAATTTACCAAATATTAAGTTGTTTTTATTCCGCAGTTATTTGTAAATCAAACGCTTTTGTTGCAGTTAACATGATTTATTCACTACGTAAGTGTTCTTGGTTGGGTGGAATAAATATCATTAATATCTGACATCTACAGCATCAAAACATTACACATCTATAAACATCTGTAAATCATTTATATCTTTATGAGCTAAAAAAAAAATTTCTTTAGGTACATGGGAGAATGTATGTTTTAGTCCTCTCAGGACTGCTATTTGAACATATTTTGTATTTAAATGGTAAGGAGAACCTGTACATTTTTGGCTCTTGGTTCCCACAATTACTCTGGATATGGCATAAGGAGTTTTCAGTTTTTTCATGGTTTTCTGTATGAAACCTTTATACTTAAAGGGGATATCCTCTATGCAGGTCTCATTAAATAGACATAAATAACAATTTTGTTGGGTTATATAAACATTAAGATTGTTATCGTATTTTTTCTTTAGCTTTGTCAAAGCATTTTTTGAATTATTTACTCTTTATCAATTGAAAACTTGAGCAAGCTTTAACTCCGATCATAAGCTCACGTCTAAATGGTCGAAATTGAAAATTTAGAAATGTTTTTTAAAACGTATTTAATTTTTTAAAGAAGCTTCATCATTGTTTTGAAGTACTTAAACTTCTTATTTAAATCTAGTGAACAATAATAATTAAAACGTTCGCCTAGAGTTCTTAATATAAAGAAATATTGACTAGAACTTTGTCCAAACGTTGCACACTGGGCCAGAAATCATATTTTTTGCCCTAAAATCTGGCATTTCTTTCCCTGTACAGCTATAAAATGGAAACAAATCAGATTATTTTTAACTTTGCATATTTTATTTCTAGAAAAAAAAATAGGAAACGGAGTTAACTCATTTTAACGCACATTCAAGTAAAAGATACAACAAAACAAAAAAAAAGTTTAGCCACTAAAAATATTAAGTGGCTTAATACTTATAACATTTAAAAAGTGCCACCTTTTGGTGTCTGAGTAAAATAATCGACCCGACAAAAATGTACAAATATATTTATAAATAAATATGAATTCAATTTCAATGACTTCACCAGAATTTCGATCAGATAAGTATTCATTTCATTGCACTAGATTATTTTACATTTTAATAAATTTGGAATGAAATTTCATTTTTAAAAACATTAAAAAAAATTCTTTGAAATTTTGGCATAAATTAGCTAAATATATATTAAAAAGGTCCTCGTTCTCCTTTTATTAATTTTCTCAAAACAAAAAACGGACTTCTGGCCAAAACTCGGGCCCGCTGGCCCAGTGTGCGCTGTGAAAAATATATTAGTTTTTTAATACATTTCTAATTGAAAGTATTTAATTTTTGCAATACCTGCAAGATTATATAAATTTCGGCTTGCCGAAGCTAGCTTTTTTCTGGTTTTTTGTGATAATGCTTTAAATAAAAAATTATATAGCGTTATTTGTTTAAGGATAATGAAAAGAAATGCTTATGCTTGAACTCTGTTCAAAATCTTTGCTCGGCGATACGGTCAATATTTCGATCGACCCTCGCGTGGTACTCCTTAAACGCCCAACTCGCGGCTGGGCGTGGTCGTGGCCATCTGCCCGGTATTACTCCCCGCCGGCGGAGCGGTCACCAGTCGGGGCAGCCACTTGTTGAGCAGCGTGCGGATGGCGAAGGTGACGTCATGGTTGGCGAAGCAGAACAGGAAGGAGACCACGAATCCTTGCAGGCTGACCAGGACGACGGAGAGCAGCTGGTAGAAGCGGTCCAGCTGGGTGCCCGCATCCGGACGATAGGGCAACAAGAAGTGCTGCAGGCCGAACAGCGGCACCAGGATAATGGTGGCCCGCACCGCCTTGCGGATGGCCAAGGGCGCAGGTTGGGCGGACTGGGGATGCAGCTTCCGGACGATCACCCGCAGCACGTTGATCAGGAAAACTGCGGGAGAAAATGGTGGTCAGCATTTCCACATTATTCGGGTGACCGATTGCATATTACTAAAGCTGGCCAGCAGTGAGAGGGTTATGGGCACCGAGAAGATCCACAGGTAAAGGCTGTCATTTATCCAGCAGCTGAAAGAATTTAAGCTAGTCAGATGTATAGTAAGTTTGGGAGAAGCTAGCAAAGCTTAAATTGTCGTAGCAGAATATAAAGGTTTGATTGAAACAATTTTATAGTAATTTTGAGGTGATTTTTGATTAAGTTTTTAATGTTTTTCAGTGGCTTTTGAAAACATTTTAGAGTATTGTGTGTGTGAGCCAAAAAATCAAAATGTCCAGGTTTGAATGGCACTCGATTTTAAATTTTTCAGCAAGTTCAGCGTGGTACGACATTCCATTTTGGGACCATTATTATAAAGCATTGTTTTTTTTGGAAAATTGTTGAACGCTTTAATTTTCTAACATTCTGCTTTGCAATATCCCTTTATTTCGTCGGCCTATTTTTATTCATTTTAATTGTATTTGCTTGTTAATTTCTTATCGAGGCGTCAAATCAACTACAAATGAACTTAATTAAAACCTATGCTACAGTCGTCCGATCTGGCTCGTTCCGACTTATGTACTACCTGCACTAGAAAGACAACTTTTGGGAAAGTTTCATGCAGATATCTTTAAAGATGAGAGACTAGTTTGCGTGGCAACGGACGGACAGACGGACGATCGACTCTCCAAGTGATGCAGAACAACGTTGAATTTATTATGAAATAAGAATGCTTGTATAAGAACCACGTTATCAGACTGCGGAAAGTTTATGTGCGAACTTAATTCACAAGGACTCACTGTTTGTTATCCGGGCCGCTGAAATGCCTGGCCAATCCGTAGACAATGGCAACGGGAATCGGCGATAGCCAGCTGATGACAATGAACCAGCGCATCACAATCGTGTCCTTGACAAAGACCTGGTGAAAAATAAGGGGGTTGAGTCAGTTAGTGGACACTGCTGGCATCTCAGCTTGACGGTGACTGAAAGCAGTTGGCCAAAGTTGCGATTGCACTCTGGCAAATTGAAAGGGGAAATTCAATGCCAAAGTAGCGGCTGCAGCAAATCACGTCTGTCATGCACAGAACTCTCTCATAAAGAATGCAGACTTACACGGCAATTACAGAGATTTGCATGGCCAATGTGAATGGAGAAAAGGATAACTTGAGCCCGGTCTCAAGTGACTTACCACAACGAGCACCAGGTGTAGATGCAGACCCTCACAGAACATCCAGAAGTAGTTGACCAACATGAAATAGTGCACCACCAGATGCAAGCCAATGCACCAGAGCTGAAAGTACACGTTAAAGTAGTTAGGCAATTGGCAACACTTGAAGAAAATATCAGCCATTTTAAGCAGAATTTTATTTAAGTCATGTACATTCATTTAAGATTAGAAAAATTAGGTCCATAGATAAACTGTCAGAAGTACGCCAAAACAGAAAGCATATAGTTTGAGTGTTGTTAAAGTATTGGCGTATTTAAAGTATTATTGGTGTAGTTTTCAAATACTGCAGGATAATTGTTTAAATTTTATGTATAGTTGAATAGAGCATATATTGGTTTTTTTGACTGACAATATGTAATATTCTCATTAAAAATGTTTAAGCAAAGCAAACTTAAAACCCAATGACACATTTTGAAGTATGATGGTAAAATTATTGTTTTCTTGCACTGTTTAGCTTACCGGATTCTCGGCTATGGTTTCGTTTCGCTCCACCACCAGGCGGTACCATAAAATCCAGGCCACACAGGTGCAGGCCAGCGAGGCGAACAGGTGAACATGAATCCGAATCCGGGTGCAGCGCAGGGATCTGCGAACGGGATATCCGCCCATCAGTATCAGCATGGAAGTGAAAGCGGCGACAAAACACTTACTTGAAGCCCAGGAAGATAATAATCGATATGAGCAGGGCCAGCAGGGAGAGGGCATAGCCTTTTACGTACAGCTCGTTGATGAACTGGCGAAACTGCATTGACAAGTTTCATGATTAATGGCCGATTCTTTACCGAGATGCCGCCGGTACACTTACCTCCAGGTCTTCGTAGTCCACGCAGTTGGTGTAATTGGACCAGGTCTGATTGCTTACCGGATGACGGAACCAGGAGCCGTTCTCCAGGCAGCTGTGAATGCAAAACAGCTTACGATAATTGTGGCTGCATAAGTGACGAGTGCAAGGAAATTTTCAAACAAAGTGCCTGACCAAGCACAAGGTACTTAACTTGGCCAAGACGCAACCGAGTTTAGTTGTTCTCGTTTCGAGAAAAACGAAGTTTTGAACGGGTAAACTTAGGATAATAACGTTGCCAGCACAAACAGCTACTTTGCAGAGACGTTGGTGTATTGCTGACTTGTTGTTGGAGCAATTTTTTTAAATTTAGGTAGTGTGGTTAAAGTAATAAAATTGGTATTGTTAAATACATTTTTTAAAGAAGAGGTATTGGTGAAAAAAAAGGTTTTCTTATGTTTGTTAGTAATGGCCTGTGAACGCTAAAACTATGTTGGTGTAATGTTGAATCCCTTTTTAATAAGAATAGCATAAATGTTGTTTGTATAAATCTTCCCAAATTTGAAAGCCATAAAATTGATTTAAAGAACCATGTATAGTAAAATATGTGGCGAATATTTACATAACAAACGTAACTTCATAGATATATATTGTATCGTTTAGCCCACAAAAACTATTAAAATAAATACCAAACAATATGAGGAATTTCCGTATTTATGCTTGGGAGAACATTGCGATTTTTAGAATGTTTATGCGATTCGAAACCATGCGGTGGTTGAAAATCGATCCATTCCCCGAGGGCGTAATATTCAGCCATTTTGGGCATTTAACTCACGTCTTGTGGGCCAGAAACTTGCTGTTGAATCCCTCTACGAAGTCGGGACAATATTGACTCAGCACGGTGCCTGCCGGCGTCCGGGGCCAGCACAGATATCCGTCAAAGTTCAAGGGGCAGAAGAGCAGCGGCTCCTGCTGATTTGTGGCCATCGTTGCACTGAGGACGGTGGCCATTAGCTCCTCCTTTTCCGCCAGCTCCTCGTCCACGTTCCGCATATCAATGGCGCCCTCGTTCAATACAGCGTCCTCAAGATATCGCGGCACCGGGCTGAAATTCTCCGTCAAATCCGACTCGTAGTCTATGCTCGGCAAATAATTTACAATATAATTGGGTTACATACTATTGTGGAATTTTAATTCTCAATTTTAATTTTAATTCTCATACATAATGTTCTTATAAAACAATTATAAAACAAATGCTTCGGTTCGTAACAAAACAGTACAGCCAATATTATAAATTGATTAAAATCATCAGCATTTAAAATAAAATTGTGATGCGTTTTTTGCTTTTAATTTACCAAAATTTGTCCCACTGCTGAAATATTTACTGCTCTGTGTAGATTTTGACCCAATCTAACAATCACCATCAGTTTTCGACAAAAAAAAAATTTTAAAAAATGTTAGCTTCTCAATTTTGCATCTATTTTGTTCTTTTTTTTCGATAATTTTATTGACATCGTAAAACGATATCATATAGCTGCCATAGAAACGAACGAAGAATTAAGCTGAAAATCATTATAGTTTCAATGTTTTTAAGCTTACAGATGCATAAGCTTAAGCTTATATGCATAAATCGAAATTTAGATGTTTTAAAGAATATTAAAGAATAACTTAAAGGGTATATAAAGATTGGCTTGCCGAAGTTTGCTTCCTGCCTTGTTATACCTAATATTAAAGCAATTAAAAGAGCCATTTAAACCATTGATATATACTTTTCTTTAAATAAATAGAATCAGATGGGCCGTAATTTAATTACATTTTGTTTTCATGCGTCTGCTTTCCTTTTTATTTGCTGTGTGCACATCGGCATGTGGCAAATCACGTATACGCCTGGTGGCCGCCACTCACCTGTTGCTGCCACGAGTGAAACTGATGGGTCGGCCGCATCGTATGTGACATTCTTGTATCGGTACACGCACTCGGCATACAAATGCTTCAAAAATATGCGCAGATTATCCTGTGTTTGGGACTGGGTCGCCGTTTCCACATTTTCCATCGTTGAATCTGAAGCGACTGTCCCCATCGTGGGTGTGTCAAAGTGGGTAACTGTTGTCATGGGTTAATGCGCTGAAAAAAGTATTATAAAGTATGCATGAAAAAATTTAGGGAGGAATTTTTCACTGAAACAAATATCAAATCAGAAGTTGAATTTTCCAAAATTTCAGGTAAAAACTCAGCAAAATTTTGATATGACATCACGAAAAATTTTTAAGGAATAGATTTTTTTTATATTTCTTTAATTTTAAATATTATGAGTAAATTAGGTATTTATTTCTCTAAGTCTAGCGCGCACCGCGAAGGGAATTCGAGTCGCTTGTGGCTGTCCGTTCGTGTGTGCATTTCTAATTTGGTTAGGCTTCAAAGAGTTGACTGAGTTGTGATGATATCTGCTGCGGTCCTGAGCGAATAGAAAGTCCCTCGTCCGGAATATATATAGAGTCCCTTGGCGCTGGAACCCAACCATCAATATCGGAACAGCAATCTCCAACCGTAGTGCACAGCTAGTCATATGTTGTAAATCAGTTTATTGTCTAATTAATGGCGGTGCTTAACTGTGACACTGGTTTTGCAACCGAGGTGGGGGCGAACTTAATTGCATTTCGTCACAAAGACAAAGCAAATGCCACGGGGTAAAAACTCAAATGAAATGCACATCGATCGAGTGCGGGCAAAATTAAACGACAGAAGGTAGTTGATGGCACACATATGTGCATGTAGAACGGGATGAGCTGCAAAGTTCTTGCCTAACTTGGTTATATTTTTAATCAAAACTCATTTCACTTGATTGAGTTTCCACAGAAGCCTGCAGACAAGCGCAAAACGAGCCATGGTAAGAGGATTTTCCCGGGCCCCAGACAAAACTTTAATTTGCGGCATTAATTTATTACATAGCTTGGGACAGTTTCCATGATGGAAATGGCGCTGGCTAAACATTCTTGCATGTTATTTATTTTTGCAAGTGCCTCGGCCAGGCAATTAGTCTCAGGTAGAACACCCAGGACGAAGGATGGCCAAAGGACGAAAGGACGAAAGGATGAGAGGACGAGAGGACGGCCTTTGTTGGCCATCAATTCAAATGCCGGACTCCAGAAACTAATGAGCGTTAATTGCATTTACTGTCTCAGTGAATTAAAATCATTGCAATATTTCAGCTCTATCATCCCTATTTTGAGACAAAATATAATTGTAATTGAAATGGTGAACCACTCGGAGCATAATCTACCGTTTCCGTTTGCCATGCCATTTTGTCGCAGGCACTATTAAAAACAGTGAGTTTTATAAATACAATTTACTATAATGAATAAGATAGGTTAAGCCTACAAATACTTAACTGCCAAAAGTTCAAATAATCCATGCACAAGCAAGTTTGCAATGTTCACAATGTTCTGTAGAAATAATAATAAAACGGAATGCTCCTGAGATTCCCCAAATTAATTTTTGTCTCTATCAATCAAGCTATTTCTTAGAAAATGTAAAAATAAATTGCATTCAGTCACTTATTCAGTGAAATAAAAAAAATATATCTAACTATTTTGCTTTGACTATTTTCTGTTCTTTGTTGTCAATTGCAATAACAAAATAAACGCTGCCTTGAAAATAAGAAATGCCATTTTTTGTCAATGATTCTTTGCTGTCAATAATGCCAGTTCTAAAGAAAGAAATCAAAAAACAAATATATTCCTATGCTCAGTTATTTTAATATTATTTTTTTTTTCTTTATACTGGTACAGAAATCCTGGCCCTAGTTACAAACAAATCTGTATGTAGCCAACTTTGCCCTAAACTAAAGAAGCCCTAGAAGAAAGCATCTGCAACATTTCCGCCAAATTGTTTTGCTTGCAAAGTTCTTATTTTGAGGCATCCATAAAACACAAATAATTGGAAAACGTTTGCTTGCATAAATTATGCAAGAAATCGAAATTTATTGTCAACAAACGGAAGGAGAAAAGAACAAGGACTTTCGACCAAAAGGACCTCCCGCTGCAATAGATACAAATGGCCAATCAATTGCGGGGGTTGTTAGTGGGGGGAAAAAAAAGCTGGCCAAGGAATAATTATATGTACACATGCTGAATATTGATGATGAATTGTTTTGTCTAGCAGCGAGGAAACAAAAGAAATAAATTAATAGAGGCTGGGGAGAGGAGAGCAAAGCCGTCAGTGCGGTTAATGATGCTGGCGGCATTTGCAGGCCGGAAACGGAAATGCCGCACAAACACCAACACAAACACAAACACACACACGCGTTTGCCCAGGGCAAAATGGAAGTGAACATGCGAAATAATACCATATTATTCGACCATTCTTGTCGGATCAATTATAATAACAAATTACTTCATCCGCAGCGTCTGGGTCACCAAATGCAATTACCCACGCTATACTGGCCACGAATCCTCCAGAATCCCGTGATGGAGCTGCCGGGCATAAAAGTTGCCCAGCTTGCGAATTATTGCACTCATTTTCCGCCCAATCACGGCTCGAATTTTCCTGTGTGGCGCAAAAACTTTTCGCATAAACCACGTACAATTAGGCAGAGGCCAGAAATCGAATTATTTATTTGTACTGTGTACGCAAAATATTTAATTCGATTGTTTACCTAATTAAAGTAGCGAAAATTGAGTTTCGTGTGGCGCCCAAATTATGCGAAATATTTTCGAAAATATTTTTTCACCTGATATTCACTTAATTATTGTCGAGATTTATTGTAGAACAGGGGCCAACGGATCACTTACATGGCGGCGCCAAGTCAATTCAATTCATTGAATTGTTTAAAACTACCGCTGCCATTCATTGAAAATTTAAACAATCGACCGCATGTTTGAGTTCACCGCGTTCATCACGTACAACAACTAGCCACAAAACAAAACAAAAAGTACGTTCAAAACACATGGAAATTCGTACGCGGTCTGTTATCGGCGGCCAAATAATTCCGCTCCAGTCCGCTTTCTGCACCGCTCTGCTCCGCGTTTCGATGGCAAGTGGCACGGCATCCGGCGAAAATCGCCTGCCGAGGCTGCTGGCCTTGCCATCGCCCCATTTTCCCCATTTTCCCGCCCATTTTCACCCACATTTCACTGAAAAAAATGAATAAATTACTCAGACTATGGGTACATTTTTTTTATCACGTTCATAAATATACATATTTTAAAGTAATAATAATTGCATTAAGAAGGTTTTTTTTTTAAATAAAAGCATCACAAAACTTAAATATAACTGATATACAAATAGTTGACTTGATTTGCTTCTTGAAAAGACTTCATTCTGTATTAAGTAAATATCATATAAAAGAAAATTATTATTATATAGTTTTAAATAAAATTGCAAGCAATTAATTAATATATATGTTTTTCTCAGTGCACAATGGCTGCTTTTCCTAGCTCTGCTTGCCAGCAACAAGTGGCTTGTGCACTGCTTTGTGTGCCCAGCACACAATTTGTTGTGGGCAAATATAACAGTTACCCAAGTGGGCGTGGCCCACACAGCCGGAACTCACAAATTGCTAAAGATTTTGGATTTAGCTGAAGGTATTTATTTAACCCAGCTGGCACGTTCGCTTTTTAGGATATATCTAGGACATTAAAATAGAAAATTGCAGTTTCTAAACTTATAATGTTTTGTGTAGATAAACACAACTAAAAAAACCTACCACTTTAATTAACTTTTAAAGATAGTGAAGTATTATGTTGTTCGAAATTAAAATGTATACTTATATTTTTTATCTTAAGCCAACCCAATCCCACTTTAATGGTTTTTTTTCTACCAGAATCGTTTATTTTATTTTACTCACTGTTGCTGTTCTTACTTAAATTGTAAATGATTTCATTTTTCTTTAAAATAATTAACTTTAATCTCCAAATAACATTTTTAATACAAAATAAAATAAAATTCAGCGAACCATTTTCTACTTTGATACAGTTTGGTCGCTAGAGAAAAGCAAGGGCTAAAACCCCTCAAATACACAGACACCGGTGTGTGTTTCACTTTGAAACTGTTGTAGTTAAGAACATTTGATGAGAGTGCAGGGCAAATTTTTGTTTTATCAACGAGTAACCTTCAAGATTCAGCTTTAGTGAATACTTCGTTTCATTTACTTCAACTCTTCATTCATGAAAACTTTTTCCTTGAACCACTTCCATAAAATTTATTCATACATATATTATACCCGGCATAGTGAAGAGTATAAATATTTTATGCGCTTCTCTGCTGTTCTTCTTATGAAATTGCAACCAACTTAGAATGGATCAAAAATTTTTTAAAACATAGCATGTATAAAATGTACTTTGCAATTAGCACCCTTCGTATTTTAGTGTTTTAAGCATAATTTCTCACAAGGGCAAGATTATAAGAAACTAGTTTTCTCATAAAGTTTTTTATTTTCTGTACATTTTCACATATACCTAACATATATGTGCATGTTTCCTTGAATCTTCTGACACTGCTCTTTTATGAATGCTCACGAAAAAGTACGTAAACGGCTTACACTTTTTAATTGTTTGTTTATTACACACTTCTTCTTGGTTACTTGGCTTGCAGTTAAAATGGCTTAAGTGTAATTGGCTAAGCCTATTAATTTTATATATTTAGATAGTTACATCAGTGTTTTTAGTTCAAGGAGTTAGTAAGTCTGCAATTTGCTTTATTCTCGACCTATAATTTGGTTACTAGTCAATGTGGTATAACAAATAGCTATGTACATAAAAAATTGTTTGTTTAGTTATTTTTAAACACCGAAAAATAAAAGAATGGGCCAATTTTCAAATTAATAATTTGTTTAAATTTTAAGTAACCTTATTGTTTAACAGTCGCTAATGGCAATGATGAAAAAGATATAACTGAAGTCTTAAAGACTATAATGTTTGAAATGTAATTTGGAAAAGGCTAATGACTAAAGTGTGCGCTCTTTATAATTATTTTATTATTAATTGTTTAATCTATCAATAGTTAATAGTTTTAACTGAATTGGTCTTAACAGCAAAAGTGCAACGTTAAGAGATTCAGAGTATTTATATAATCGGAAAACACTGGTAAATCTCTTCACTATTATCGCATGCTGTCGTCTTCTATCAAATTTAATCCACTTACCCGTGTTAACAACAATCTGGCGCCAGCTGAGAGAGTTTAAAGTGGTAGTTCGAGAGTTTAAGCCGCGGAGAAGACAACGATTTTTTTTTGTTGTTAGGTAATGCCATAGTACTATGGTATAATGTCACCGTCACCGCTCTCCGGTCGCACGTTCCGGGTCGATAAAAACCGGAGAGACGGTGTCTTACCAAAAAAAAAAAAAACACAAGAGTGATGTAAAGACCGCTATCACCTGCACGTTCTAGACTTCGTTTGCCGTCGAGTCGCTGACCCATAAAAGCGGGGATCTCCGTGGCTAGAGTCATCAGTGCCATCGGCAACATGTTCCACTCCAAGTCTCAGTGTCAGTCCAAATCGGGTCTACTCCTGATCCTTTTCGTCCTGGCCTTTGTCGGGATTAGGGGAGACTACGATTGGTATGGCGACTATTCGGGCTCGGAGCTGGACTACATCTTCCCGGATGCGAGCTACGATGCCGGGTGCCCACCGGGTGGCTATCCTGTATGTGCCACCGATGGCTACACTTACCACCCATTTGCCAGCAAGTGCCGTCTGGACTCGCACAATATGAAGCAGCTTTTCGCCGGCAAGAAGGGTATGTTTGGGTATCAGCTTTTAAATTTCAAATTTCTCCAAGTGTAACTAAGGTATTTTTATATTTTTTGTTTAACTGCAATTTCCCTTAAAAAAACGTATTTTTTTGTTTTAAACTATTAAAGTTACTCCTTTCTGGCCAATTTAAAATCAAAAAAAAAAAATTTTAGTCTTTGGCAACTAAATAATAATAAATAATAAATTATCCTTCAAAATATAGAGATTAACAATTCAAATGAACATTCCTTGCATTAAACACATGTTTATTATTTGTGTTTTTCAGAGCTAACCTGTACTGATCTGGACTACTGTCAATCGTATTCGATTCCTGCACAGGAATACTATCCGAAGAGCTCGCCAGTTCAGAGCTTTGGTCCGGTTCGGTATTTCGCATCTTCTGCAAAGAATTCCTATGCATATGCCGCCGCCAGCGGTCCTTATGGCGCCAAGGCTTCGGCCGAGGCTCCGGGTCCATATCCTTTGGCCCCTCCCTCTTATGAGGTTTCCTATCCCTCCGCTCCCGCTGTCTATATCTCGCCTCCTGCCAAGTATCCTTCTCGGCCTGTTAAGAATCCTTCCTCGCCTGTCAGTTATCCTTCCCCGCCCTCATCCTATCCCGCTTATTCCAAAAATGTGCCCGCCTATGCCGCTGTTTATAGCTATGCCGACACCACCAGGGCACCATTCAATGGATCGACTTCGTCCGCGGCCACTACTGCCACCACTGCCACTACAGCTACCACGAGGGCCAATACGTATCCTGGGTACCCCACCGCATATCCAACAACCACTGGGGCAACAAGCACGATGGCAACAACCACAGTAGCTACAACTACAGTAACAACCACGCCGGCAACAACCACGTTGGCTACAACGACAGCAGCTACCACCACAGCAGCAAGAACCACAGCAGCAACAACCACAGCTTCCACAACCACAGCGGCAACAACCACTGCAGCAACAACTGCAGTAACAACCACGCCGGCAACAACCACATTGGCAACAACGACAGCAGCTACCACCACAGCAGCTACCACCACAGCAGCAACAACCACAGCGGCAACAACGACAGCAGCTACAACCACAGCGGCAACAACCACATCTTCCCCAACAACAGCAGCTTCAACCACAGCTTCCACAACCACAGTTTCCACAACCACAGCAGCAACAACCACAGCAGCAACAACCACGGCAGCACCTACTGTAAGTATAATCCACCAATGCGATCTGTGAACAATTTAGTCTTATAAATCTTTCCCTTTCGTTCTAGACTCCCTAAAAACTGAACGGATAAGGCAGCAATCGGCATCACCACCAACAAAATAATAACAACAAAATAATGTCTAGAAACACCACCGACCAACCACTTGAAGGCATCAGCAACCGAAATCATAATTTTTACCACAGCAATATGTAGAGTGTTCCATTTAGCCACAATAAAGCAATCAGTACAGCACATAAACAAGTTGAGTTGATCGCATATGGTCCTTGATTTTTGTGGGCACTGAGAAAATTTAGCATCGGGAAAGGGAAAATTATTTAATGTTCTAATTATGGCAAAACTTAAATTGAAAAATGCTTTTAAAATCGAAATAAATATAAGGCATTAAGACTTTTTCTTGTGATTTCAAAAGTATCCTTTAATTATTATTAATTTAAATATTGATGAAATAATTAACTATTTTCAAATTGATTCTATATGACATTGGTTTTGCTACAGTTGTTTTCTATAGAGATCAGTTTTATTTCGATCTAAAATCATGTTGTGTATCAAAAATAATTACTGAACATGTTAGGACGTTTAAAAATTAAAAAAGGAAATGTAAATAAAATGATTTTAGTTGAAAATCAATAAACCTGTTTATGAAAATGTTTGAATCTATATAATTATATATATATTAATTTTGAAAAATTTTTAATGTTTAAACATATCACATGAAGGGACATATCTAAATAATCGTTGTTCTTGCATTATTATTTTAATGAGTTTAAGGTTAATGTTTTTCCACGGAAAATTGAGGTGATATTGTTAGATTTTTAATGTGGTGTTGAGGTGTTTGGATGGTTGGCTGATGCAGAGTGGGTGGCACTTATCAGCGCCTCTGGCCCCACACACTCGAACAGGTGTTTGGCATTGTTTGCTCGCTGAATTATTTTCGCTGCGGCTTAATAGATTTTTTTAAGCAGTTTTCCGCTTTTGTGCCCGCCCTTATCTTTTGACAATAAAACGGCATTAAAAGCGGGTCGGAAATCGACGGCGGAAGGGTCGAAACAATGGGCCACAATGGGCCACAATGGACCGTGAGTTGGGGTCTCCTATTTCTGGCGGGAAAACGGAAACGGAAATTAACAAATGCCCCAGGCAGCACTTGGCATGCCAAACAACACAAGGACAACCGCCTGGCTAAAATAACCATTTATATTCAAATTGTCTTAACTTGGCTCAGATTTTTGTACCCACGAGCTGACATAATTTTTTTTTGCCAGTATTTATATTTTTTTTGCCTTTGGGGTTGGCCAAAAGTTTAATGAGGAAATCTGCTTAATTAAATGATAAACATTTAATTTGGGACGCCAACTTAGTCAACACTTTGTTTTTTGTTTTAAAGAGTTAAGATATAAGAAATGTGTAAATAGTGATTTTATTACATTACATAGATCATTTGACTTAACCATTTGGTTAGAAAAAAATTATTAAAAATGAAATACATATGTGTATTTTTCTTTCATACCAGGAATGTATATATTTTTTATTTATAAGGATTTATAAAATAATATAACTAATAAAATATTTAAATTTAATAATTGGGTTGATAAAATGTAACAATGTCAAAACCTTTGAGTGTGGTTTCGTATTTATTACCTTATAAGCAAATGCAGAAAAAAAATTTAACTCAGTGAAAAAGTTAAACGCAGACTCAGACGCTTTTTCTTGCTGTTAAAAAACTGTAATCAAAACCAGACTAAAATTAAGTACAGCGATACAAAAAAAGAGAAAAATTGCTTTACAGATTATTAATAATTATGATTTATCGCATTAAAGGTAGGTTAACTTCTCTCAGGTCAGGCTTTTAGGTGAGACTCGATTTAGCAGGGTCTTTTGTGTTAATAATTTTGTTGCAGCTTTTCTTTTATATTTAAGCTGGAGTATTACGAAATGATAATTTTGCCCCCACAATTTATGCAAAAACATTTCCCAAACTTGCGCATATTTTGTGTAAAATAATTTGTAGAATTTCATTTGTTTGATTTCATTTACTCAACCAGCAATGTTGTTTTTTTCGCCGGCAGCTTGTGTTTTTGCTTTGCTCATTAAAAGTTTTACCGCGAATAGAGAGAGAGTGCGAAAAGTGCTGAACAGGCAAAAAGATTCGGCACAATTGAATGAACTCTTTTTATTTTCGTTTTTTGCATTTTTTTTTCTAAACTGGCGCCGTTCTTTCAGGCCCGGAAAAATGAAAAACGCTCAAGTGAAAGTGAATCTTGAAAGACAGCTGCCCCAAGTCCGTAAAATCCAATCCGCCCCAACTTTTGATGGCCGATAGCAGATGGCAGTGCCAACATCCTAAGCCAATTATTGACATTCTCTGGCAGTTTCGCATAAATCAAAATTTGCACAAAACCCACGAAGGAACTTGGGAAAATAAGGAAAAACTCGGAAAGGGGATTAAGTTGGAGGAGCTGTTAGCGGATTTAAATACTGTGTACTCCTTGAATTCGCGAGTCCATCGAAAAATTGTTTTTTTAATAAGATAAATTAAAACTAATAAACTTAATTGCATTATTAGATAAGATTCACAAAGATTTGCAAAGATATTAAAATAGTTAAAGCTAATAGTTAGCTAATAAATAAATACAACGAATTGTAATAAATCATTTTTAAAACGTTTAAGAAATACATTAATATTTGTTACTTTATTTATATAAAATAAGGAAATGTATTTAATAAAGTTTTTCTGCTCTTTGTAAACTTTTATGTTTATATGTTTTTAAGGTCCAATTCAAAGTTTTAATTTGCTTAAAGAACAATTGCCTGATTATAATGAAATTCAAGCAAAGTACAACTTTTATCAATTGAAAGTCAAAAGAATTCGTGTGCAGCAAAATCGAGTACAAAGTATCTGACAGTCGCGTCACTACAATAAATCAGAGCTCTCGTTTTTTAATAAATTTGAAGTGGGATAAGATTTGTGGTGGTTTAGTCGCGGGCAAATATTTTATTTAGATGCCGTGCTGCCACGCCCACGCGGCATAAATCAAATACCGCTTCTTTTGATTTTCATCTTTTTTTACAAAAATATTTTTTTCTTGGCCGCTCTGCTCGAATTGATATTTATGGCCGTGAAATCGGCTTATAGCATTACCCATTCCCCCACTCCACCCCACCTATATGTATTGCCCATATATACAACGCTTAGCCAGCGGGTTGTTTACAATTCAGCCGAAAATTGCCACGAAATCAGATCGCACTTAACGGACGAGAACAATGTGTTGGTTATTTTTATTGGATTTAATTGCGAGTACCTGAACGTGGCCGAGAAAACTCGGGGATAAGGTCTCTGCCGGAAGCCTAAAAACCAGGGAAAATAAAATTTGCCCGAGAGTAATCAAATATTGAATGAAGACGGGCGTTCATTTTTTTGGGGGGGAAATTTGGATTCCATCAGTTTGGGAATAAACACGCTTCCAATTTGTGTTAAATTTATTGAGAGAATCTCGCACAGTTTTTCGACTTAACTGACAGCTCGCATCCAATATTCATAGATATCAATTAATTAGCCACCTGACTATTAATCTGTATTAAGCTGGTTTAATCACTCGTTTTTATAAATAGCTTTTGTACAGGTATATATTTTAAACGCTGGCAAATGAAATATTTATACATTTGGAACCGCTATCTGTTGAATACCTAATTATCTATAAAACCATTTTTGCACTATGATACATTTTAATATTTCCAAAATAATTTTTAAGTGGATATCTAAAAATTCGTTCAACCCTTATTGACTTTATTTTTGTCCAGAAGACATCCGTCACTCAATTTTGATTAATTAAACTTTTCATTTGAGAATTCTTAGATCAAAGAAAATGATGAAAAATATGAAAAAAGCATTAATAAAACCAATCGGCTGTTTACCTTTTGAATGAAAGTTGTTTGTATTATGAGAAATTAATTGTAATTATTCATAGAACTATAATATTTTAATTTCTATATTTTAGAACTATAATATTAAAATGTTGAAAAGAATTAAAAGGCAAGCAAAGATAAGCAACCCATAATAAGTACATCATAATTAAATGCATAATATTTAACTAAAACCTAGAATGAGTTTAAAAATTAAGAATTGAGAAATGAAAATGAAATAGACTTCTTAGAAACTCCCTTTATATTATAAACTTTTTAAGAACAACAATATGAAATTGAATACAATTTGAATGGCAGTGAAAATGTAATAGAATATCATTTCTATGAGTTTTTATAATGTATTTGTTCCAGTGATGTTCATATGCAGTAACATAAACATGTCATAAAATGGGTCATATTATAAAGTGACACCTTTTTTTGTTTAATATTTTGACATTTATTATTTTAATAATTCGACTGAGTGTGGTAATATTAGCTGGTTGCCAAGCGACTGTTTATTCAGTTCAACGAATATTGGTTATTAATGGCCAATGACAGGGGATGGATGCAGTCACTGCCCCATTAAAATATTTAAATGTCCAAGGCTAATGGACACGAAAAAGTACAGCAGAAGGCGCCCATTGAACATGTTTGCAAAATTAATCAAAAGCGCCTCTGACAGCTCAGGGAGCGTCGCAAGGAAAATAAATTAAAAATACATAAAGCGCTCAATTACGAAATTTTGTACATTTAATTTGTAAGCAAAGCGAAGACAAGACTGGAAGCACAAAAAAAAAAAAAAAACAACGACAAAACCCGGCAGCATTAGAAGCGAGGGAAAAGCTATGTCTGTAGAAATCCAATTTTCATGTATATTTTTTGCCACTGCCCATTTCCCTTTTTGTTTTCCGTGTTTTTTGTTGCCTACTGTTCCGGGGGCAATATAAAAATTTAATATGCGCCCAAAAAGTCGGCTGCAATAAAATGCTTAACAGGCTTGTAGTGGCGCAAGTAACTTCAATGTGGAATCATAAACCATGATCCAGACCTTGACCACATCCCCACCCCACTAAATTATGTTGTAAAAGTGGCAAAAAAACAAGCAAATGGCGACACTTGAGATCCCATTTCCCCGCACATTTTCCCCCGGGCAGCAGGCAAACAGACAGACAAACGGAAACAGAAGAGCAGACAGTCGCCTCATTAGTCCAGCGGTCAGCGGTCAGCGAGAAAAAGTCGAAAAACCCATAGGGTCTCGTCTAAAGAGTGTGTGAGTTATAGAGGTTGCATCTCAAATGGGCAGGTCGGGAACAAAACATATGCATACCCGTTTTGGGGGTCGTTTTCGACTGAAATCACTTATAACTTTCTTTCAGGCTTATCGAATAACAACTCCAAGTGGAATTCAAAAAGAAAGTCTTTGTGTGCGATACAAAAAGTGTAAAAATAAATTTTAGTAAGGCAACCTATAAAATAAATGTTTGCCAAAACAAATCTCTAAGATAACATAACCAGATTTATACACTTTCAAAGGAAAAGTGTAATATTTTCATATTTAAAATAAATAAATACGGCAATGGACTAAAATCATAGCGAAAAATATTTAAAATAAGTACAAAATATTTACATTTATAATGTTTTTGTGCCAGTGTATATACTCTTTTCCTAAATGACCTCTTTAGAGTTATTTTTAACAAAATTCAAGACACTCCTTTAAGTCCTAAGAAAAAAACACTTCAACAATGTACAAACTACCCCCAAAAAAATAAATTCTGCCAGAATAAGTTTGATTTATATTTAGTCCTATCAGATGACAACTCCACAAAGCATTCTTAGGGAATGAGTAGGCAGAAAAGTTTATAAAAGATTTCCTAAGCCAGTGGTTTTATTACAAGGCAAGCTAGGATGAACACGAATAGCAATTAGAATGCACTTTATCATGTATGTATAGAAAATGAAGGCCAGGTGCTTAGTTTAATTAACCATTGACATTTTCCGACTTTTCGAGGAAAACCTAATATCTGGTTGGTCTGTCTATTGCGGTGGGAAACATTAGTTGAGTGAAACATCAGTTTCAGCGGTCCATGTCGACATTTGTAAGTTCTTTAATGAAGAACCTGCCATCAATGTATATGCGGTTGGACGCGACTTCTTTTGCGCTGGGATGACAGCTGTCATGTACACAAGTGCCCCCATTTGAACCCCCTTCCATCAGCATTTAATGCCCTTTGACCCCCTCCCCCAACCACATTTAATGCCCTTTGACCCCTTCGCAGACGCTGTAAATGTTGGCGTCAGTTTGTATGAGTCATGTAAACACGGCCACCAACTAATGAGTCCTCGTTTAGCAGGCATAGGAATTTGAACAGACAACGATCGTGCGGCAGTCAAAATTAAAAACAACAAAACACAGAGGTAGTGTGGTCGTGGCTCCGTTTTGAAATAAACTAGGAACTACTGGAATCTGCATGCCAAGTCCCAAATCTCTAGCTTTTATAGTTTCCTAGAACTCGACGTTCATACAGACAGACAGACAGACTGACAGAGAGACGGGCATGGCTAGATCGAACTAGTTAAACTAAATCAACCAAGCCTTGATGGTACCAAATGAAATTTGGTTTTAACTAGTATTAAAAGCTTAAAATTATGTGCAATAAAGAAGGGGTGTACAATATGAATGTTATTATGAATGTCAAAATTTGGCACCTAAGGATGCACCCTGACCTCGAAACAGTAAAAGTAAACTTTTATTTTATTGGTGTTTAAAGTTTAAAAACTTAAATTTCAGTGCCTGATCAATGTCGTACCATTTAATTTTGATTTAAATATTTTAAAAGTGTAATAAAATATATAAATGTGGCTTATGTACATTAAAACCAGTATTATTAGTAAATAATTAAGCAGACTCTCGATCAAAGTAGACAAGGTGTACAAATTTACTTAAGATACGCTCTCTAAGTTTCCACAGGCATTTACGTAGTTTTTCTTGTTATTTCAAGTCGAAAGCAACAAACTGTTAGGCTTACAGTTCGTTGAGTTAATGCCCATAATGAACATGTTAAATTCAGAACTATTCAGCTAGCCATTTGCCGGAAAGCACGCTCCAGCAACGTCTTGAAAAGAGGGTGGCGGAGTGGAACCCGTCGAAGCCCTCGCAATGGCAGCACATAAGTCAGCTGACAGCGTCTTGTGCATAACTTATTGCACACTTTGGGGGCTGCTCCAGCCCTATATTGCAATTGTTTCGCTACACAATCGCCAGTCATTGCGGGTATTTGTATTGGGTCTTAGTCTTAAGCCGGCCGTAACATGTACATAGATATATGTATATGCCACCAAGATGTGCGCAGGGTGTGCCTTTGGACAGTGGCTAATTGAATAAGAAACCGCAGCATGGTATCAACTACATACGGGCCACGCGGCGCATACGCAATGCGAAATGGAAAAGGGACTATTTTAGAGCCTAAAGCAAGCAAAAGGATTGCTGAACGGATTGCTAAATCCCCCTCTTTGACATAAAAAATAAAGCGGAGCATACATTATTGCGATTCCTGAATAAATCATTTGTTTGCAGTGACATTTCGATCTTGTTTTTATATTCCTGCCCAAAGTAAATACGGTCCTAATGCATGTGTGTGTCAAATTTTCGGGCATGACAGGCCGCCTGTATTTCCAATATGTGTTGCGCGTAAAATAAACAATATTCACACAGCGAAAACCCTCACGAATTAGGGAAACTTAGCGAATGACGGCTGCAATTAAATGTAATTTGATGTGCTCTGTTTACCTCGACAGCGGGATGCCTCTCGCACTTTTGGGATCGAAAAGTCGCGGTTCGATTTTGGCGCCTCTAATTGCCGTATATTAAACGATCGAATTGCAAAGCGAGCGTCAAAAAAAAAGCCATACTCGAAAACAGGACCACACAATTTGAAGGCAGATTCCGAAATCCGCGACCGTTGTGCTCGCCACAGCAACCGGTTGGCAAGTGAATACAAAATTCCAAAACGAAGCGAAAGGAACCGATGCGGAGGATTCAAATGGGCAAGCAGTTCGGCACGACTGCTTGACGAAAACTGTTATACGGCGAAAGTGCATGGACATGTTATATTTTAAATTTACTAACAGATTTTTCCTTACCAAATTCAATTGTTTAATTAAAAAATACCTAATTAGTAAATTTATTTACTAATTATTATTATTTATTTCTTACTTTATTAAGATTGGTGTATCCCTTACCAGTAAAAAAGATTTTTTTTAATCATATACAAAACAGTGACATGGAAAATTAATTAAGCAATTAAATTAAACAAATAAAATGCAACAAGTCTACTTATATTAAAGAAATAATAGGCTGAGCATTAAATACATGGTCAAATTACAATAGCGAAATTGGGAAAACTAGTCATTCACCTTAAAAGTTAGTTTCGACAAAAATTCAATAAATAAATAAACAGCTAAATAATTTTATTAAAGTTTTGTCAATAAGTTTTATCAAGTTTTGAACCATAAGCTTTACCTTTTTACTGCTTAAAAGAGCTTAACGAAAGCATCACAAGCAGTGTAAGAAACACGAGCATCACAAGCAGTTATTGGTGTTCATGCCAAACACTCATTTCAACTTCAGATTGCGTGGTTTTCAGTTTTTACCTTTTATTCTTACGAGAATATGGGGACTCAATATCTGAGCCATGGCCAGGCAACCGAGACGAGACCAGAGAAAGAGAATCTGAGAAGGGGTTGCTGGATTTGGTTTTTTCATGTTTCTTGCTTTGGTTTTTTTGGCTTTCTAGCCGCACTTACAATGGAAAGGGGGAAAGGCACGTATAATTCTGATAGATGGAAACCGTCTGGTTTCCATATGTAGTAATTGTTGTTTCTTTGGAGATTTACTTTAGCAAAGAACAAGTCGGTCGTATAAATAGTTGTCGAAGGGTGAGCTGAAGACATCAGTTACACGCCAACCTTCAAAATGTGGGGAGTGTTTCCTTGTATTGTCCTGTTGTCAGCTTTGACCTTGTCTCAAGGTCAACAGGAGGATTACGTGGGATTTCTTCGTACCCACGGACCCAGGAATGTTCCGAGATACAACCATCGACCCTGTGGCCCCCGAGTTTGCGGCAAAAGTGGCCTTTGTTATCGGAGTTTCGAGAGCATTTGCGAGCTAAACGATTATAATTTTAAGATGATCTTCAGTGGCCAAGACGGTAAAATATATTAAAGTTATCTAATTCATTTGGATATACCAATATACCAAAGAAAATTCATTTAAAGTAGATATTCTTTATTAACACAAATATAACACAAATATGTACACACTCCTTTTTCTTCCAGAGTTCGATCTGACCAACCCCATCTATTGCCAAGAGCCTCCACCACCGCCAAAGCTTATAAATGTTGGCTACTATTATAACACTAATCACCGGAGCTTGTTGTTGGGCCAACAGCCACCGTCGCCATATTCGTCGCCCGTTCCTCGGCCGAGTATTTCCCTTAACCAGGACTATTATAGACGTTATGACAGAGTTTCAACACCAGATGATTTCAGTCCAGCTCTGGATTATGTACAGCCGTATCCGGTATGGTCTTTTAAGCGACCTCAAACACCGCCGACAAGGTCCCCAGTGAGTGTTAGGCCTCCTTATTGGAGCTATCCGACCAGGCGCCCCGAATCAACGAAGCGGCCTTGTTATGAGACAACAACAACCAGAAAAAGGACCCCAACAAGAACAACAACTACTGAATATTCCACAACCAGCACAACAACTGAACCAACTACAACGACGAGGACAACTGTACCTTTAATAACTACAAGAAGTACTGAACCTTCTACAACAACAACCGCTGAACAAACAACGACAACCACTGAACAAACAACAACAACAACAACTAATTCAACAACAGAAATAACAAGCACAGAACCAACCACAGATCCAATAACAACTGAGGTGACAGAATTATCAACAGCTACAGAATCGACCACAGCAGAAACCACAGTACCAACAACAGCTGAAACGATCCCACAAACAACAACAACGACTGAATCTACAACGGCAAGCACGACAGAATCTACCACAACTTCAACTACTGAAGTTCCTACAACAACGACAACAGATCTTCCCACGACAACAACCACTGAGGTTTCTACAACAACGACATCAGATCCTACCACAACAACAACCACTGATGGAACTACAACAACGACAGCGGATCCACCTACAACAACAACCACTGAGGTTTCTACAACAACGACAACAGATCCTTCCACAACAACATCCACCACAGATCCTTCCACCACAGATCCTGTCACGACAACATCCACTACAGACTCTTCCACAATAACAACCACCACAGACTCTTCCACCACAGATCCTTCCACAACAACTGATGCCCCCACAACAACAACGACTGAATCTTCCAGTAACGCCGGGGTTGTAAGTATAATGATCAATATATATTACCATGATAAAATAAAATTAATGTTTACTTCATTTGATAGAAATCGTTAACTATTACGATCAGAAATGCTGACGGTCGTGTACAAGAACTCGATTTGGCAGCCTTGGCCGTGAGTCCAGACACAGCAGATGCAAACTGTGAAGAGGTTACCAATGTCCTGATAACAACAGGATCAAGAATTGTTTTCCAGTTTTCTGGCTGTATTGTGGTCAATAGTTCTACCACTGCAGCCACCACCACAACCTCGACAAGCACCACTGAAACCCCACATGAAACCCCTTACTACCAGTGGTTTGGCCAATCAGCGGGCTATCAATCCCATTTCATATATACCTATTAATGTGCAATAATGGATGTTCTTGCTTACCGACAAAAATAAAGAAAATATAAAGCTTATAGAAACAAAGAAAATACACAAATTTTATATACTTATTAGTTTTCTCTTTAAGAACGGACTTTAAATCGCGTATCAGCTACACATTGTCAAATTGTTATGGTTCGAAATAATATGTAAGCCAAGTAGAAAGAAAAAAAAAGAAGAAAACAATAATAGCCCATTATAACAAAAAAATGTTGTTTTAAAATGTTTGGTATTTCATGTAAGCCACAATTCGAGTATAAAACGTTAGAGTCAAGTGTCTTAAATCATAGGAAACGTGATATTCGCTGTCTTGAAAAGTTCCACACGTGAACTGCGTACCGCCCTGCAACCCATCGCCGAAATCAAGTTCAAGTGCATCTACGTTCTGCTTACTCATGCTTTAACTCATTCCGTTCCGAAGAACTGTAGCTTGTTGCAGCAGACAATTTCACATGACTCAAGGTTGAGCTAAGCCACCGCGATAATGGCCAATAAATTTCATAATGAGTTGCAAGACAAGAATGAAAGCAAGAGAAGAGGCGTCTGGCAAACCGATTGATATGAACTACATAATAACAATAAAGAAGCAATATAAATAATAAAATTATATGACCCAAAAGAGGGTTCGCGACACGTACACACACATTGCAAGAGTATGAGAGCACCGAGTGTTAGGACTGCCCGGGAGTATAAAAACTGCAAGCGATCGAGGTCACGGCATAGTCGCATTTGAATCGTTTTCAGCATGACAGTCTCACTTGCAATTGTTTTTGCACTACTCGCCACCGTTCAGGCATGGGATGACGGAGCACCCTACTACCCAGCTCCGCACTACTTTGACCAGCAGCCCTATGAGTACCCATGCCCACCATCTGGTCCCGAAAGTCTCGTTTGTGCCGGAGCCCCAGGTGTCCAACCATCCACATTTCCCAGTCCCTGCGAAGTTCGACGATTCAGAGCCCTCACGGGAATAGGTAAGTTCTACCAACTGGTTCTATAAGTCACCTCCTGGTCCTCATCGAACCCATATTTATTTCTCCAGACTGGGAGATCATCCACGAGAACAGGTGCGAAACTCTGGAGGTCTGTCCGGACAACTGCCAGGATCAGTACAGTCCTGTTTGCGGAAAATACAAGGACACCAGGCGAAACTACAGAAGTGAATGCGAACTGCAGCTGGTAAAGTGCCGCACAGGTCATCGTGAGTATTTTTAGAATATTAAATTAATTCCTTGAGACCCTACAATGCTAAAACACTAAAAATATAATATAATATAAGATTTACCCTAGATCAAACATATTTCAATGAGATATGTAATGTAAAGACAAGCCTTCAAACAGTTGACAGTAAATACGTCCAAACATGGGTATAAATATTTTAAAACCGATAATCGATTGTAAACTTTAATAGCAAAAAAAAAATTACACCTTAGTTATAGGAAGTTGTAGTAATTATAAAAACCTTAAAACCTATAGTCTGAATAATGTTAGCATCAAACTATACGGTTTCATTAAAAATATTTTAAACAAGCATATATATTTTTATTCAACAATACTTTTTTATTACAGCTTGGAGAAAACATCACGATGGTCCCTGTGAAAGTAGGTATCCAGTCAATCAGTCGCCGCGTCTTCAAAGCTACAATCCCTATGCGATCAGTCCATCCCAGTCGAACTATGGATCTTCTGGATCATATGGCTCTCAAGGACCATATGTACCTCAAGGACCTTATGGTTCTCAAGGACCGTATGGAGGTCAAGGATCTCACAGACCTTATGGACCCTACGGTCCCTATAGGTCGCAATCTCAACCTCAGGGCTATCCACACACGTCATTTGCTTCGCCAAAGCCAGCTTATGAGGCGCCGGTCTATAACCCTTATAAAATTACGTGGGAGAACCTGCCCACCGAGTACACCGTAACGTCCAGACCATATCCAACTCCAAGCTACGAGTCCTCGCCAGTTACTGCCACCACCACAATCACCACAACTCCCGGACCAGAGACAGAAGACACAACAACCACTGCAATTACCACCACACCACAGCCAGGGCCAGAAGACACAACAGAAGCGTCGACTCAGAACCCTAGACAGAATATAAAGGTGAATGCAGTGGTGGAGAGAGCAGAAAATACAACTACCCAGGTGTCCCTCACAACGGCTTCTTCCGAAGAAACCACAACCACTGCGAAGCCTCTTGTAGCGAACAAGACTTCGAAATATGCCACGGAACTCAGTTCAACAGAATCCAGTGTTACGGCTACACCATTGAAAAAATTCATAACGACTGCTTCGCCAGAACATGCAACGACCACAGCGAGAATGGCAGGTCCTCCACTTTCGATAAACGCCGTAAAAGGAGCGGAGAAGACTACTGAGCAGGACACAAGCACTGAACCAAGTACTCCTCAGACCCAACCGACTGATGCTCCTGGGGTTGAAAGAACTACCAAGGTGTCTATAGACAAAGTCTTCAAAGTAAATGCAGTGCAGGCGAGTACTGAAGAAACCACTGAGAGAAAAACTAGCACTCCCAAAGTCGTACCAATCTACCCAACTTATCCATCGCCAAGTGTCTATAAGGAAACTCCAGTCTACAGCTCTACTAAGACTCCAGTCACACAAAAAGAGGATGAAGAGACAACTGAGATATCATTAGACAAAGTATTCAAAATCAATGCAGTGCAGGAAAGAACGGAAAAGACAGCTGAAGAGACTACTGTCAACGAAACTAGCACAGAATCGAGTACTACCAAAGCTCAACCGACCTACACATCGTATCCCGCATATCCATCACCAAGTGTTTATAAAACGTATTCAGTGTATAGCTCTACACCAGCTCCTGAGGGTGAAGAAACTACTATGTTGGCCTTGGACAAAGTCTTCAAAATAAATGCTGTGCAGGAAAGTACTGAAAAGACTGTTGAAGAGACTACTGAGAAGAAATCTACCACTGAAAAGAAATCTACCTACATAACATATCCAACTTACTCATCCCCAAGTGTGTATAAAGAATCTTCAGATTCTCCAGTCACCGAAGAAGAGAACGAAGAGACATCTGAGATATCGTTAGCTAAGGTCTTTAAAATACATGCAGTGCAGGAAAATACAGAGAAGGTAGTTGTAGAGACCACAGAATCAAGTACACCTAAAGTCCAAGCTCTTTACCCAGCATATCCAAATATTTATAAAGAATCTACAGTCTACACAACTACTGAAGCTCCTGGAGAAACGACCCAGGCGTCTTTAGACAGGGTCTTCAAAGTAAATGCAGTGCAGGAGAGTACTGAGAAAATAGCTAGCACAGAATTAAGCACACTTAAAGCCCAACCTACCTACATAACGTATCCAGCTTATTCATCAAGTGTCTATAAAGAATCGTCTGCCTATGGATCGCCAGAGACTGAAGCAGAGGACGATGAGACAACTGAGATATCTTTAGACAAAGTCTTCAAAATAAATGCAGTGCAGGAGAGTACTACGCTTGCAGCTGAAGAGACTACTGAGAAGAAAACAAGTCCGGAGTCTAGCACTTCTAAGGCCGTTCCTACCTACCCATCATATCCAACTTATAAGACTTCTGGGTCTTCTGAGACTACACTGAATGAAGAAGGAGAGGCAACTACTAAAAGTTCTTTGAATAGAGCCATAAAGATTAATGCGATCTCGGATACGGTAACCGAATCATCTACGGAACTCAGCCAAAACTCCACAACGACTGCTTCTCCGAGCATAGTTTCTGGTATTCTAACAGGAATCACACAGGGACTAAGTATTAGTGCGGTCAATAGTTCGAAAACTGAATCAGCAGAAATTCCCAAAGTTGTGAAGACAGAAAGTGTCGGTCTGAATGGTACGGTAGTGAATTTGGAGCTGACTGGCAAACAGGGAACCAAGAAGTTGAATCTACACACAAATAGTTCCGACAAATCAAGCAATGTGTTTTTTATATTTTTTGATAGTTTTAATTGAATAAGTTTATATAGAGGCAATCATAGTCGAATGTACCAAATAAGATAATGTTGATGTTGATGTTATTGTTAATAGTTTAAGTTTTGGAAATTATAAGTGCATATTGTTGTGTTCAAAAAGAGTTTCTTGGTTTTCCGTTAACTTAGGCGGTAGCGGAGAGCGTTTCATTTGCCAGTCTGAAGTTGTGGCCTTTAAAAAACACAATGTAGTTGGACCCAGTCGTTTGATTCACCAGAGATCGCAAATTAGACAGAGGCATCAAATCGCTGTTGTTCTTCCTGTTCTTAAACTGACCAAATGCAGGGCGAGACATTTTCTGCATATCTTGGGGCATTCCATTGGGTTCCTTTTGGAGGGAGTTCTGCTTACGTCTTATAATCTTGCGGCTACGTATATAGATGTCCGTTAGGACTTCCATATTGTCCCGCAGTTGTTCTAACTCCCCCTTCAAATGAACAACAAAATTCTTGAATATCATGGTCACCACGGAAGGGATCGTCTGTAGTTTCAAGCCTTTGTTGTCATCATAAGTAATGGCACTTTCATTTGATTCGTTCAGCATGCACTTGGGTTCGCCAGAAGTCACAATTCCCGCGCACATAATCAATCCAAAAATAAAGGTGAGCTACGATTCAGAGCAATTAGTTTTGGTTTTTTTTCCCAAAAATATGCTTACCATTAAATTGGAGTACTCCATTTTTTTTTGATTCTATTCGTTTCCTTTCCTGTTCTTGTTTAATATAAATCAGTGGCGTTACTAAAACAAATTGTCGGCAATGCTCCGACAAAAGTTAAAATGCCTACTTTGATTAAACAGTTGACTAGGTTTGAATTCTTAAACCTAAATCGAACGAAAATACTGATGAAAAAATTAGCACCACAGACAGAAAGAATTTCTGTTTTAATATAATTATAATTTATTACTTTAAGTCTTATACTTACTTTTATTCTAAACCTGAATTCGAAGTGATTTCAAGATTTTATTTTATTTTATTGTTCAACTTAACTAGTATTAAAAATAGGTATCAATAAATATTAAATACCAGAGTCTAGATAGTTATCGTGGATTTTTCGTAGAATCTTGAGTGGTGCTGATCGCGTGTGTCATCGCAGGCGGATCGTCAGTGGTGGATGCGTCACTAATCTCAGTGGTGCTGGCCTTTAGATTCGATTTAAAGGTGCTGGTGGATAAATGACTTATCCTGGTTGCTTTGGTGGTTAACAAAACTGGCTTTGCTGTGGTGGATGTGGTGGTGCTACTTCGGCGGGAATACGATTCCGTGACACGACCCACTTCTGGCAGAAACATCGAGAGCGAGGAGTCGATGATCTCGGCATAATCGTGACCCACATCTGGAATATTGTACACATTATAGGCATCCACTGCACGAGAAACGGAGACCATGGGATTGGTCAGATTCATCAGTTGCTGAAATTGCATGGGCGCGGGACTTTTACTCGTTAGTTTGGTGGGCCTAGCCCATTCAGTTGTGGTGATTCCCGTGTCGGTTGGTGTGGTGGTCCTCGGATTGGTGGTGCTGGTGATCCACGGATCTGGAGTGGCCAGCATAAGGTACATCTTTTTTTGTTCATTAGAAAACTTTGCAACGGAGGCTTTTGTTGCCATGCGTTTAGTTTTGTTGCGGCGCCGATTCTTCTTACGGTCACTTTTTTTGGGCGTTTGGCAAGGACCCAGGTGCAGAATCCGCAGGACTAGGCAGTCAGAAGAAATTAAATTAGGGATTATACAAATGAGAAGTAGGTTATCAAATCTGATTTAAGGTCACCTTAAAAAAAACTTTTCTTTGATGTCTTAAACCTATAAGCCAAAGATAGAAAACATGATTTTATTTGAATGTTTAACATACCATGTTTTGTGTGGCACTCGCGTCGTCGCATCTCGCACTCGTTGGCGAAGGTTTGGGGAAGGGCTCCTCCGATCTCGGCCAGCGCGCAAACTGGTCGCCCCACATGGGTGCACTTCATCGTCTGGCAGGTGGGCAGGCATCGCTCCATCTCCGTGGGCTCCAGTTCTGCATGGCAATTTCCGGAGATACAGTTTTGCAAAATATAATAAAATAAACACAGGAAAAGAAGCAATTTAGAAATTGGAAAGTTGAAAATAGTTTTCAATCTTTTAGACTTATTTTGAAATGAAAATCATTTATTTGAAATTATTCTATCATTATTTTTAACTGCAAAAGCCTATTGTAAGTACAAATTAACGCGTTTACTTAAAAAAAGATAATTGTCGTCTAGTCAAAAACTTGAAAATCATTTATTTTCCAACACGATTTTAAGCTTTAAAAATAAATTTTCTGTGTTTCAATTTTAATTTTATTACTGTTTATATATATTTTTTTCCAAATATATTTTGAAGTAAAGAGTTTTTTATGTTTTGAAACAATTCATTGGGTTTAGAATTCATTGGGTTGTTTATGGCCTCAACATTTTTGTGTGATGATAAGTATATTTTTTTAAAGGAATTTTGTGATGGTTTTTGTAAGCTGAGTAAAACAATCTTTTCCCAACTCACCTGTGCCATACTGGAAAAGTAGCTTCATGTTGGCCGCCTCCAAGCGGCAATCGTTTTCAAAGTAGAAGTTATCCGTGCCATTTGTGGCACAAACCGGCACTCCGCCGGGCTGGCAATTTGGCTGGTAGTCGACATACTGGATCTGCATGGGACCCAGGCCCTTGTGGCCCTTCTCATCGGGATCCTGTCCCACTCCTGCCTCGCCAAGGATTTTGGCGTACTGATCTCTCGTGTAATGCGGATCGCTCAGGTGCCAGTTGGCAATGGGTGAGGTCGTTTTGGACGTCACTCCGCCGCCAAAGACTCCCAGGATCGATAAAAGGATAAGGATTACTGATTCCATTATGGTGACTTGCCGCGACTGCATCTCGAATTGCTTGTGACCTTCGTAGATCGCGTGCAGAGCTTTATATTGGATCTGGGTGACTTATCGCTTCAGTTCGCTCTGCATTTTTACACTGACGCTGCATTTATCGGTGCTTAGCAACATATTTGCTTATGCCAATGCGATAAGAATCCACTCAGCAGGTGGCTCACTGCATAACCATTCATAGTTATTTATCGCTCTTTGAACTGTGGGTCATTCACGTGCCAGCTACTCTGAGGTAGTGAAAACTCACCACTTTAATACATAATGACATATACATATGGAGTGAAAATCTGCCAAGTGGGCAACCTAAAACCAAAAGGTCAGATTTTCATGGAACATTTGGCTTTTTGGGTTCACAACAAAAAAAAAAGAATACATTTAAGCCGGTTTTGAGAATATCGAAATATATTTTTTGTTAATGTTGTGCTGTTTATTTCATAGGTATTCAGTTTTTCTAACATTTATTTATTAATTTATTTTTAACTTGTAATGTAACTTCACTAGCTTTTTAAGTTTTCTCATAGTTAAGTGATTAACAAAACAAACTTTTTACTTACTTACTAAGTAAATGTATAAATAGAAAGCTTAAAAGCTCAATATCCTTCAAGACTTTGGAAGGCTTTAAAAGCTAACGACAAGCTAAATTAAGCTATACCAGAATGTTTTAAAGCTCAAGAAAAATAAAGCTTTTGATAAATGTTTTCAAAGTTTTTATTAAATAAAAGCTAATTTATTTACTGTTGCCTGAATATTATTTAGATTATTGCCATGGGAGCTTTAATGTTATAGTCGTCCGTTTTTGATGAAATTATAGACCGATCTGGCTCGTTTCGACATATGTACTACAATAGAAAGACAACTTTTGGGAAAGTTTCATGCAGATATCTTTAAAGATGAGAGACTAGTTTGCATGGAAACGGACGGACAGACGGGCGGACATACGGACATGGCTCGACTCTCCTAGTGATGCGGATCAAAAATATATATATTCTTTATAGGGTCGGATATGTCTCCTTCACTGCGCTTCAAGCTTCTGACTGAAATTATAAAATAACCAAAAACCGTCACTTTAAATTCAATAACTTTTTTTGCAAACATCCGATTTCAAAATGGCATATCTTTATAGTATTGGGGCTTCAGTCTCTAAAACTCTGCGTTTAAAAATGGTTTTGTAATTTCGGGTCGATTTTTTGTCATTTTTATGATGTAACCTAACCTTTCTAAATATCCGAAAAAATCGTCTTTGCAGAAAAGTGACCAAAAACCTACAGTTCTAAGTCCATAACTTTTATTTCACGCATCCGATTTCAAAGTTGTATTTCTTTAAAGTCTTGTTGCTTAATCTTCTAAAAGTTTGCATTTAAATTCTGTTTTGAAAGTTATTAGGGTATTATAATTTCAGTCAGATGTTTGCAACGCAGTGAAGCAGACATTTCCGACCCTATAAAGTAAATATATTCTTGATCAGCATAACTAGGCAAGTCGATCTAACCATGTCCGTCTGTCCGTCTGTCCGTCCGTCTGTCAGAAGACTTTTATTAAAAGAAATAATTTAATCGAGTACTTATTCTTTTTTTTTTTTAAAACGCTTTGTTTTGAAAATTTTTTCTTCGAATATTTATTAAATCGAAATTGGGCCAGACAACCTTTTAAAAACCTTGTCATCAAGTTCCCGTTATACCAAATCAAAAAAATTAATAATTTTAAAAGTCATTCTGAATTTCTTTTTGAAGAAGTTTAAAATGTTTACGATTAAATCGTAGGTTAACATTTTTGTTGATTTATTACATTTCTTACAAACCTTATCATCGTGCTCTAGTTTACTGCAAAAACTTATCCTATAAAATTCTAAGCTATGTACAATGTCAGGCAAAAATAGTTATTTTAATAACACAGCTGCTTTTACGTTGTCCTTGAAATCGATGTTTGGGTCTGAAATCCCCGCACAGTTTCAGATGTTGTGCAAAGTTTTTGAGCGTCAACAAACAGCCAACTTATATTTGGGCAAGTTTATTGCTTTGCCGTTATTGAAAATGAAAGAGCAAGGGCATCTGCCCTCCCAACCCCGCCCCCAGACATTGTGCCGCACCCCTCTCCCCAACAACCACTCTGAACGTCCTGCAACATCCTTTCCACACACTTTCACCCCCAAAGACACACACACATTCGTATAGTAATCTGCATATGCTTATGTGTGGGGACCAGAAGATACAATTTATTAAACTCTCCTTACACATACACAGCTAAAAATGGCCAAAGCAAACAACAAAAGTTTCCTATTCCCTTACATGACGAAGGGTCCTGAGAAAACCAAATCCAATATGGAATCGGTGTGCTGTGCGGCACGGAAACAATGGAGAAAACGGAAGTCATGGAACGGAAACAGGTAGAATAGGAGAACGCAGTGGAAAACTTAACAACGTCAAAATAAAAAATATTGATAATGATAACTTTGAATTTCGACAAGATAATAATACCAATGTCTACAGAAATAATAAACACAGTCGATAATCAAGACAGTATGTTCCAGTTTCATTTCAGTATCCCACAAAAAGATTTATTTATTTAGGATTAAACTTAAAAATATGTATCAAAAGTAAACATCATTAAAATGGTAAAAATTAAAGTCATAATCCAAATACCCAATTTTAAACGTTGATAAGTTTTAATAAAAATACATGCTACTTAAGCAGTGGGACTACATAGAGAGTTCGAGCTTCGTTGCTGCCCCTTGATGACTGTTGGTTTTGCCATTCAGTTTGCTTTCTATTTTGGCCGCGCACAAAGCGAAGGGGGTGAAAGGGGCGGAAAGGAGTGGAAAGGGGCGAAGGACGATGGGCAGGGTTTGCCTGAGTGTTTGAGTGTGTGTGCGGGCCAAACAATAAACAAACAAACAAGCTGCTAAAGTGTCACACATTCATCATACATTGTAATATGCCTGTGGACACGACCGTAATATCCAGTATACCGACTACTGCCAGACTTGGCCAGTAGCCAGTCACTGGTTACTATCACCACCACTGGTCACTGGTCACTGGTCACCGGTCACCGGTCACTGGTTAGTGGCCATGGTATTTTTTCATTGCCGGATTCTAGAGTTGGAAAACCGAAAGAGATGGCGTTGGCAAACAAATAAAGACAGGAAATCGCGAATTGCAAGCCGCAGCCACACTAAGCGAAAAACTTTCATGCAGATATTTTTAAAACTAAAAAAATGTAAAAGTAGTTACTGAATTGTAGTTCTTGTCCAATATATAAATATGTATTTATAAAAATTGAATTCTGACATTAATTATCTATTTCAACTTTCAAATTTAACTTCAAATATTTCCATAGTTGCAATGGTAATTTGTTAATAATTATTTAACCATAGGCATCACACAAATCGGTTATTAAAGTAAGTAAGTAACATTTCTCCCAGTGCAGTCTGGTGGGCGGAACAGTGGGCGCGGCAGCGCTCGGAGGTGCGGTTGCAAAACTATGGAAAAAGTGCAAAAAGGTCAGTAAATTAATGTGCGCTGGATAAACTTTGTGTCGTCCATGTGTGTGTGTGTGTGTGTGTGTGTGTGTGTGTGTGTGTGTGTGTGTGTGTGTGTGTGTGTGTGTGTGTGTGTGTGTGTGTGTGTGTGTGTGTGTGTGTGTGTGTGTGTGTGTGTGTGTGTGTGTGTGTGTGTGTGTGTGTGTGTGTGTGTGTGTGTGTGTGTGTGTGTGTGTGTGTGTGTGTGTGTGTGTGTGTGTGTGTGTGTGTGTGTGTGTGTGTGTGTGTGTGTGTGTGTGTGTGTGTGTGTGTGTGTGTGTGTGTGTGTGTGTGTGTGTGTGTGTGTGTGTGTGTGTGTGTGTGTGTGTGTGTGTGTGTGTGTGTGTGTGTGTGTGTGTGTGTGTGTGTGTGTGTGTGTGTGTGTGTGTGTGTGTGTGTGTGTGTGTGTGTGTGTGTGTGTGTGTGTGTGTGTGTGTGTGTGTGTGTGTGTGTGTGTGTGTGTGTGTGTGTGTGTGTGTGTGTGTGTGTGTGTGTGTGTGTGTGTGTGTGTGTGTGTGTGTGTGTGTGTGTGTGTGTGTGTGTGTGTGTGTGTGTGTGTGTGTGTGTGTGTGTGTGTGTGTGTGTGTGTGTGTGTGTGTGTGTGTGTGTGTGTGTGTGTGTGTGTGTGTGTGTGTGTGTGTGTGTGTGTGTGTGTGTGTGTGTGTGTGTGTGTGTGTGTGTGTGTGTGTGTGTGTGTGTGTGTGTGTGTGTGTGTGTGTGTGTGTGTGTGTGTGTGTGTGTGTGTGTGTGTGTGTGTGTGTGTGTGTGTGTGTGTGTGTGTGTGTGTGTGTGTGTGTGTGTGTGTGTGTGTGTGTGTGTGTGTGTGTGTGTGTGTGTGTGTGTGTGTGTGTGTGTGTGTGTGTGTGTGTGTGTGTGTGTGTGTGTGTGTGTGTGTGTGTGTGTGTGTGTGTGTGTGTGTGTGTGTGTGTGTGTGTGTGTGTGTGTGTGTGTGTGTGTGTGTGTGTGTGTGTGTGTGTGTGTGTGTGTGTGTGTGTGTGTGTGTGTGTGTGTGTGTGTGTGTGTGTGTGTGTGTGTGTGTGTGTGTGTGTGTGTGTGTGTGTGTGTGTGTGTGTGTGTGTGTGTGTGTGTGTGTGTGTGTGTGTGTGTGTGTGTGTGTGTGTGTGTGTGTGTATGTGTGTGTGTGTGTGTGTGTGTGTGTGTGTGTGTGTGTGTATGTGTGTGTGTGTGTGAGTGTTTGTGCAGGCCTGTGGAAATGTGTGTGTCTGTGTGCTAGAAAACCTGTCGGTGGGCGTGGCTGAGCCGCCCCCAGGCTGACCGTGAGAGCAAAGGGAAGGGGACATTCCGAGGGAAATTTGCTTTGAGTTACGGCCTCTTCGGTTCGCAAAAGGCACACACACAGGTAAACAAACAAGCTCACTGGCACACAGATACTCAGATACTAACACTCACACTCACTCTCTTACAAACACACACACACGGACAACACTTTCATTTACACAAACACAAACAGGATTCAGAT